TGACTTACGGATCAGAGACGTGGTCCTTCACTGCTGGCCGTATGAGGACGCTCAAGGTCGCTCAGCGAGCTATGGAGAGGGCTATGCTCGGAGTTTCTCTGCGTGATAGACTCAGAAATGAGGATATCCGCAGTAAAACCAGATTGACCGACATAGCCCAACGGATTAGTAAGCTGAAGTGGCAATGGGCCGGCCATATAGCTCGAAGAACCGATAACCGATGGGGAAGAAAGGTTCTCGAGTGGCAGCCTCGTACCGGTAGGCGTAGTGTAGGGCTACCCCCCACTAGATGGAGTGACGACCTGGTAAGATATGCAGGAAGTCGATGGATGCAGGTGGCTCAGGACCGTGCTTTGTGGCATTACTTGGGGGAGGCCTATGTTCAGCAGTGGACTTGTGAAGGGCTGTGATGATGATGATGATGATGTATATATATATATATATATATATATATATATATATATATATATATATATATATATATATATATATATATATATATCGCACTAGCCCAGTCTGTACGTAATAATCTACTGCATATCCGTATGGGGAGGAGCAGCTAAATCATACTTTATAGATTTAGAAAGGACGCAAAGTTCCTTGATTAAGGTAATGTACTGGAGGCCCTATAGGTTTTCCACCGAAACCCTATACCAAACATCTAAGCTGCTCTCCGTTAGAAAACTTTATATTTTACACATGATACTAAGATATCACAAAACGTTACCATTTGAACATACCAAACTTACGAAAAGACGGTGCGATATCGTGGCTCCCTCATACCCTGCACGTACAGTATTTGCCACTCGACAAAATATATCTCAAGCTCCTCATGCCTATAACAAGATCAACCGCGTACTTAAAATTTACCCAATGCAAATGTTTGAGTGTAGAAAAACTCTGACCGAGTGGCTCTATACTCTTAATTATGATGATGTGGAAAACATTTTGGTCAAAAAGAGATGAACCAGTTTTAAATAACACACACTGACACAACAAATCAGTAGGTAATATATACACACACGTACATACATACTCACGCATACACACACACACACACACACACACACACACACACACACACATCATAAACTAACACACTACGGACACAACTACTCAGGTATACATTTCTCCTAAGCTTCTTTTTTTTCATTTTAAAATGCATGAATATCTGTAATATTAAGTTTAAAATGTTTATATTTTTTTTGATGTAAATCTAAGTTGATACGATTACGTAGGAAGAGTGAGACTCTCCCAACACAAGTATCTTATGATTACTTTCTGGGAGGCCTCGGCAAATAGCTGTAAAACGATTTACTGAAATAAAACATTTTTAATTTTTTTTTTACTGAAACCATAATAGCAACATTCTTAAATACAAAAACTTACGACGGTGCCGCCGAGCTTGACAAGGCAATCAATGATAGGGGGCGTGGCACTACAACCGAGGCTGAGGCACCCTGGTCAGCCCTGTGTTAATATTTTAAATTAAAAATTAAAACTTGCTAGTACTAAAACCTTAATAGCAACATACTTAAATAAGAAAACTTACGGTTGCCACACGCGCCTACACTTCGGGTGCAGTCTCGAGGGCCTGCCCCATGAGCATCTCATCAATATAATTGATTGTTAATCTAAAAATATCAAGCCTAACATTATTCCGAAAAAGACAATAAACACTAAAAAAATAACAAATATATATTTTATAAGAAAAAAATTTGAAAAAAATCAAGCTAACTGGTTAATTGTTCTCGGCCCCGGGCGACCGTTGTCTGGTATACGGTGCCCTCGAGGTCTTCCACCACGGCCTCCGCGACCGCGCGCTACCACCACCTCAGGTTCAGCCACCACTTCCACCAGCAAACCAACCGCCGCCGCCGACATTCTCCCACCGCGGACTCGCACACCTCTATCGCGTCGCGGACTGCGAGTCCTCGGTCGTCTTGTTTCACTTGTTAATCAAGTGCAAAAAATATAATGACGACATGCACACACAAAAAGCAAAACAATTTACTGAAAAAAAAATAAAACAAAACAAATAAGAAAAGCAAATAAAAATCCACACCAAAAATTATCGTAAAAAATACCAACACTGGCATTCCCAAAATCGTATCCATACAATACAACCTGCTCTCTAAATGGATGGCGGATTTCGTGTGAATAACTTTGCGACCCACGTCTGTCCGCGACCGCCAGGTGGACGCGAGATTTAAGCATTTTTATTTCTAGTTTTATGAAATATTTAATCGAAACTATACAAATGTAATTATTGTTATGTTTGTAGATAAGTATGCTAACGATATAAAACAATGTTTACCATTCACAATTGTACTTTTATTTAAAAAAAATTGAAATTAATACGAACATGGTATCAACATGGCGGTCGAAATGGCAAGCAATGTTTGATTAATTGGAACAATTTATGTACAAATCGTCATCTAATATGTTTTAAATTAATAGAAAATTATTTATGACTTACCCATTCACGCTTATCTTTAATATTAACTTCCGAAATCGCTTTCAACAATTAATACTTTGCACGTAAACACACGACCCCGCGTCACAGAACGAGCAACTGAACGGACTAGATGTATTACTATTTCAAAGCTTCTATGGTTCGTTTATGACGTGTGTGTGACATTATTTGCTGTTTTTGTTTAATTCTCTGCATGTTGTACCAGTTATAAGGAGATACGTACATATTTACTAGGGCTGTTTCGAATCTGAAGTTTATAAGTAAACAGCAACCTTCTAATGGTTGTGGACAGATGCGTACTTTTTGACAGCAACCTTGAGAAGGCTTTGGACTGACGAGAGGTTATGCATTATAACGCATCTACATCACAAAATCCTCCCAAATCTGGAACAGACTGATTTCTCTTAATCGTAGCCAGTAATGACTGAATTTGAGTATTGGGTCTATTCATAGGAACTGAAGTACGTAAATTGGGTCGAAAGCCATCAAAATGTACTGTTTTATAATGATTAAATTAATACTCAGGATTGACATTTGAGTCTGCAAGGTTCAATACTATATCACATTCTTGAATCATCAAGGGATCAAAAGGTGTAGTTTTATATAGAATTTCCCGGTAATACCCGATCTTAAAAGTTTGTAAAAATAAAATATCCGATAATTCGAGATTTGGATAAAGAATGTAAACTTAGGCTTCGTAAATTCCTCCATTAGTTTTACTCTAGTTAAGTCAAACTCTCTATACTTCTTTCTTACAGTATAAATTATTACAATATAAATTGCTTCTGTAACATTATTAAAATTTTTAATGGTTGTTCAGTGAGTCTTAATGCCCCTTCTTGTAATTTAGCGAATGATCTTTCTTTAAAAAAATCTTCTGTAATAGCAATAGATTCACCCTTCAGCATTAGTATTAATTTTTCAGCAATAGAAGTTACTCCAAATAATATCTCTATACGACTTATTTAAATAATACTAATTTTTACGGATTTTATCGCGTATATTAACTTTAATATACTCAACGTTTCGGGCACTTTACAGACTGGTCACGAGAGAGACTCAGATGTTCAACGTCTAGATGTCTTAGTTAACCGCGGTAACTATCGATTAAATTTATTAATTTTTGTTCCGATCTATGCAGTATGAACTTATAGTATCTTGAAGTCTTGCAGTTGTATGCATGGGTTGGGATTTAATTTTATTAATTATAGGACCCAAGCAGATGGTAACACCCAGCCATCTTCTCTATTGAAATTAGGATGTTTTTTGATTTCAATATCCTCGCGATCATCCTTGGAAGGAATCCGTGTTCTTTAGCGAGGATTTGTGAAATTTCCGAACTGAAGAAATTTCTGACAACCTATAATCCAGTTCCTCAAGAGACATACCACTACTAAATACTATATGATCATGTAACATTGGTACGACTCTATCGACAAGTTCTCTGATCGTTGGACTGTAAGCTATAGTCTGTAATGCTGAAGAAGTGTCCAATTGTGGTTTTACGTTAGATTTAATAAATCTATGATTGTCATGTGGTCGAGTCAATATATTCTCTAGTTATTCTATTTGTAATAATATTTCACCATTTTGAGTCAATAACCAATTTCTAACTGAAACGCTATTAGGTTGTATTTTAAAGAGTTTGTATATATTTAAAAGATAAAGTTTCTGGTTTTAACAATGAATTAAATCTCTTAAGTATAACAACGCATCTACATCACAAAATCCTCCCAAATCTGGAACGGATTGATTTTTTTTAATCATAGCCAGCAATGACTGAATTTGGGTATTGGGTCTATAGATAGGAACAGAAGTACGAAAATTGGTTCGTAACCCATCAAAATGTACTGTTTTATAATGATTAAATTAATACTCAGGATTGAAATTAGAGTCTTCAAGGTTCAATACTATGTCACATTCTTGAACTATCAAGGGATCGAAAGGTGTAGTTATAATAGAATTTCCCGGTAATACCTGATATTAAAAGTTTGTAAAAATAAAATATCCGTTAATTCGCGATTTGGATAAAGAATGTAAAAGGCTTAGTAAATTCCTCCATTAGTTTTACTGTAGTTAAGTCAAACTCTCTATACTTCTTTGTTACAGTATAAATTGCTTCTGTAACATTATTAAAAATTTTAATGGTTGTTCAGTTTTTTTTTGCGCCCGAAGCAAATATGGGCAACCCTCCGAAAAGCGGGGGAGGGAGGTGGGGAATGCTCATAGCATACCACGTAGCCGGCTGCGTGGTTATGTGGAGACTTTTATCCACTAAACCCCACCTTTAAGGATTGGCTTACATTAAGGATCTGAGACGGAGAAGGTTAATGCCACATAAGTACTTATTTCAGATAATATAATATTAGTAATCATGGGCCTAAAATGCTTTCCAGAGTCCTATACATCACTCCAAATGCTGTTGAACCAAGCAATTGACCGAGAACGGTAAAACCACCAATATGTGTAATGATAGGTCCAGTAAAGTTCTATAACGTTGTTACCAGTAGTTCTAGGTTAAGGTTTAAGGTAGAATCTTTTCATTGCTAAAACCTAATTTAATTTTAAGTTTTCTAAAGGGCAATGACACACTCTGGACTGCATTATACATCTCTATGAGTGTGAGGGAATCTAGTCCTGGTGGTACATCACCAGCATATTTTGCAAAGGTGGTGAATCTTGTATGTACGTATTCTTTACCTTGATGTATGTATTGTTTGACAACTTTTGAAATCATTGAATCTCTAACATGTTTGTCACTTAATTTTTTTGTTGATGTTATCATACAAACCACTGCACATGCTATGTCTGAGTCTGGGAGGTACTGGCCACCGAAAGTGGTACTTTCATTAACAATTCTTAAGCATTTGACTTTTTCGACACCAAGGCCTTGTGCCATGTTTTTAATTGAGTCAAGAGAGAAGATTGCTCCACATAATGGTGTTAGCAACTTTGAAGCATTAGTGTTGTAACAATAACCTATAGCTTTACTAAAGGTTACCATTGTTAACGATCTTACTTGACGAAATGTTAGGATTAGCTTGTTATCTTCAACTTGATTTGTGAATTCCATTTCTTTAAATTTAGTTACTATGACTACTTTGATTGATAGTTATTCACCAGAATCAGTTGTCTTCTTGTATGGAAACCTAAACCTTATGGCCTTGTCACCTTTGATTTTCTTTTCTGTTCTCATAAATGGACCATATTCAAACAGAATTTTTGCAGCAAATTCCAATGCCCTGCTAGGTTGTGAGCTAGACAAGGGCTCTCCAAAACCTTTGCAGTATTCAGAAAATCTGTTTTTAAGCGCTTCAAAATCAAATTCGACAGATGAGAATGTCTTACTAAAATCAATCGGAGTCAATCCTAGTGTAGTAATAGTTTTCTTGATTTCTGTTCCAATTATTGATTGAGGAACAGTTCCAGCTAAGCTAAATTCTTCTGTTACCTTCTCAGTCGTCGGTAATGCTAGTCGATTCAGGATGTCCGTGGATGTTAAATTTTCCGCCATGGTCTCTATTTATTACTGCTTTGGCTTTATTTACTGTATGTTCAAGTACAACTGGTGGTTTATTGTATTTAGCTGACAAAAACTCAATTAGACCAGTAAGGTTTGGGTCACTTTTATTGGAGATTACACTTGTTGGTATATCTGTAGAAATGCTACCCTCTATAAACACAGTTATGTTGATGTTACAATTAATTGCAACAATTGGGTCTGTGTATATGACACCACAACCACAACTTATGAACTTAGCCCTATAGCTGACCTTGTTCCAGAGATGGCACTTATACGACAAATATACCTTCCGTAATAATTACAATATTATACTGATTGAAAATTAGTTCATTAAACCCATGCTTGCTGCTGCTTGAATTTCTATTCTCAACAATCCATTGGAAGCTCTGAGTTAACCGTAAGAATAGATAATATAAATTTTGATTTGTAATTTGCCAACTATTTTAGAATAATGAGAATTTGTGGAAACAACATTCGTTCAAAATCAGTAAATATTAATATTATGAAAATGCAAAAGTGCTATGATTGTATCTTACAATATATTGTTCTTGTATAATGTAAATACACCAAAAAAATTCCACTAACCTTCGATTATTATTTGGGAAGATTTCGGTATATCCACATATTGCACAGGAGTTATTGTTACTTTTTGGCCACCCTCCTCATATTGGGTGGGAACGGCCGGAAGAATTGCATCACTATCATAAGGATTATATAAGCCTAATGCACTTGTGGATATAAGGCTCAATATCTGCTTAGTACAGGGATCCTCTTTTTTAGGTAAAACTGTTCCACCACCTAAAATAAATAAAGTAGATATTACTGTTACGAGCTTGAGGTTCGTGACAATAAAAACTGCCGATTTAATTACCAAAATTTACACTTTTATTACAGAAAACCAATTAAAACTAAAAAACACAAATAATTTATCACACTGATTCACTTTATTTCAATCCGAATCTTCGCTTGTCTCGCCAAAATTCAATACTGCCTCGATCGCATCTTGCAGCGCCTTTAAATACACATTATCACCGAAACATCCAGAATATTCAAGTAAATACGCGCGACAATCGACCAGGCGCCGAAAGTTCGAGTGTAGGGCTTCTAGAAAGCTTAGTTCTTCAATTCGATACTAGATGGCGCTGTCGGTTGAAAGATTAGTCATGTCATTTTCTAGAAAGCTCTCCTCGCTCTGTTACCCGAAACTAGATGGCGCTAGTGCCAGACGTCAACTTAGGCGCGCAACACTGCTCCCTTCTAAGACATGCTCGTCCCGAGCATTATCGGCCCCATAATAATGCGCCAGGCGATCCACATGGACGATCTTAGGAGTCCCTCTTGCGCCTTTCTGTATCCGGTAGGTTACATCGTTGATCCTGGTTACAATCCGGTACGGGCCGTCCCATTTAGCTTGAAGCTTAGGAGATTTCCCTTTGCTGCGGACTGGATTGTGCAACCACACTAGTGAACCTTCGTCGAACCCTTAGTTGTTCATTTTGCGGTCGTATCGGGTTTTCATTCTGGCCCGATTGTCTGACGTGCTCATAAATGTCATTCATTTTGTTCCGCAAGTCATTTGCATAATCGGTTATACTGCGTGGGGCATCAGGTAGTATCCCGGTGATCAGGTCTGCAGGCAGCCGTAATTCTCTTCCAAAGTTTGCGAAAGCTAGTGTCACTGCTGTACTCTCGTGAACAGCGCTTCGATATGACAACAAAAACGGTTGTATGTGCTTGTCTCAATCTCGTTGCCGATTGTCTACAACTTTTGCTAGGTACCTCTCCAATGTCTGATTAAATTGTTCTACCACTCCATCAGATTGCGGATGATAAGAAGTCGTTCTTGTTTTATGAGTACCCATAACTCGGCAAGTTTCCTGGAATATTTGAGACTCGAAATTCCTTCCTTGATCGCTGTGAATCTCTAAAGGTACTCCAAAACGATAGAATACTTCATGAACTAGTTTATCTGAAACTGTTGAAGCTTCTTGATTTGGAATGGCGAAGACTTCTGGCCACTTAGTGAAGTAATCCATCACAATCATGAAATACTTGTTACCGCTTTCACTCTCCGGAAACGTCCCCGCCACGTCAATGGCTATTCTCTCCCATGGTGCACCAACATTGTACAACTTCAACGCACCTCTACTACGAGTCTGAGGTTCCTTTACAGCTGCACAACTTGTACATTTGCGACACCAGTCCTTGACATCGTTTCGACATTGGACCCAGTAAAACCGTTCTCGGATCTTCAGTAGAGTTCGTTTAACTCCCAGATGGTGTAATGTTGTACGGTTGTTAAATAAAAGGGAGACGTGTTTTCTCTACTCAAGGCTTTAATTATACTGTTCTTATTCTACACTTAACACAAATATATATAATTTTGTGGAGCCACACTACACCTCCCACCGACAAAAAATAAAAAAAATAAATTAATGCATCTGTTTTTTTTTTAACTTATAAAACTAAATATAAAATTAAATTCTTATAAAAATATAAATTATAATAATTCAATCTTATTATATACCTATTATTTTCTAAACATAAACCACAAAATTAAAATAGGTGGTATTCTATGGGTAGGTCGGGTGGGCAGATCTCCCTGTCCCATATTAATGTCGAGGTCACAGTCTTGTACATAGATTCGTCACAGTTTATTAGTGATAAACATGTACTTACGTTTAAATATTTTCTTATATTTTTTTTTCACAGTAAAAGTGTAGTACATTTTAAACTAAGTCACTTACTCGTAGGCATTAAGTCATTTAGTCACTTAAATCATTTTGTAATTATACGACTTTTCTAGTCTGAACAATAATAACACTCTTCTCATTTTCACATTTCAGTATTTCATTTTACTTCAAATATTTATTTATTCTTTGTTAACCACTAGTTATTTTCCATTTTACTCCACAGCAATTTGCTATTTATTAAATATTTATCATATTTGTCTCACGTACTCTGCTCGGCATACATACATGATCAAGATTATGGGCAATATTATTATACAATTCTAAAAGAAACTCTCATTTCCATCATTACCAATACATTAAAACTAATCCCACATTTTATAGTATCCGAACAACCTTAAAAATTAATCGGTTATTAGGTTTTCCAAGCACTCAGCTGATCAGGCCGATTGTATGTGGATATGCTAACCTCCGATAATTTTTCTTTACCTTACTCACACCTACATACTGTCAATACTTTTTATTTATAATTATTTATTACATATCTTATTCATAAATTTTCGTACGTCTTTCACAAATTTATAGTCTAGTATAATACTTGGTTAAATTATTGTCAGTCAGGGATTGGGACTCACAATATGGGCACAACAAAATTTGAATCAATTAATTATATACATTATGTAATGAGTTTCAAAATTGTATTAAACGAAGTAAATATTCTCGTAACTCACACAAGTAAGTACTATTTTAAAGTAATAAATTATAATAGTTTAAAAACTTTAAAAGTTAAACATAATAATATCGAAAATAAATTACTATATTGTGTATTAAAATTAAGAGAACAAAGAAATAATATTGGGGACATAAGTCATCACTACCATAACAACAGACAGATCAAAATACAAATTGCAATCTTAGCAGTGCTAGCGATTTGAGACACCTTTGTTTTAAATTCCAAAGTACGTATACGGAAATGTTTGCGATTACATCGAACTATGACCACACGGTGTGATTCACACCTAATTTTAAGATAACAACAATATATATGGTTGGGCGGCGGGCCTTAGGGTTGCCGAGTCTGATTCCCCGGTTGAGCCTTGATCCTACTACGCGAGACGTTATACTAGATGGACTGTATACGCGGTAAGCTTCTTCTGCTTCAACAAAATGGCGGATGTGGCATGCGGTTCCTTGACAATGCACTCGCTCTTCCGAAATCTATTGTTTGCCAAGGTTATGAAGGAATCCTGCTTGAGCACATTAGGAGGAATGAAATGGGGCGGATTAACTAACAAACAAATACTCAAGCAGGCATCATAGGAAAAGAAACACACTTACCGGGGTGTGACTGCGATGCGGCTTGGACGCTTCTGTTGCCGCGGTGCGACTTCTTGCGTATCTCCTGGGACCCCAGGGATGCGATCCTGGCCGGTGGTGCGATGGAAGAGAGCGGTGCGCGACGATATCTCATACTAGGTGAGGCGGTTACTCCTGGAGCTCGACTGCTCCAGGTTGGTGCGGTTTGAAACTAGCGGTGCGCGTGGGCAAGAGCCCTCTAGGACGCGACTGTCCCAGGCGGTGTGGTTCCAACAAGCGGCGTAAAGGCAACAGCGCGGTCGAGCCCAGCGCGCGAGCTTATATCGGCTTCTTTCCCACCGAAGTCGGGCGCTCTTCTCATTGGTTGCGAGAATCACGCAACATTCTAGAATCTCTTCTTTCCCCTCTCACCCCACCACCCCGGTGTGTACGGAAGGGATAGGTCGAAGGAAGGACAACGCTTGGCAAGCACACCCTCGAATAAAATAAAAATACGAATGCTTTTCCGTGCAACCAATATTATAACATGAATATAAGTATTAATTTAACGTTGTTAGAAATATACTTACTTACTTACTTACTTATATTCACGCACAATCCCTAACGGGGTAGCCAGAGAGAACAGATCGCCAAGTGTCACGATCCTTACATACCTCTTTCGCTTCTTTCAGGTTCATTAACTTCTTCATACATGCACGTCTAGGTATCCGAGTACTCTTGACCCTCCCCTCTTCGAGCAATTTGCTCACATGGTCATCGAAAGTTAGTCTCGGTCTACCTCGACACCTTTTAATATTTACTTTCGCTCTATATATTTTCTTCACCATTCGGTCTTCACTCATTCGTTCAACGTGCCCAAACCATTGGAGTACGCCCCTATCAATTTTTGTGATAAGGTCATCTTTCAATCCTGCCATATTGCGAATCTCTTCGTTTCGCTTTCGGTCGGCTATGGTAACGCCACACATTTTACGAAGAGATCGCATCTCCACTGCATTCAACTTGCTTTTATGCTTCTCCTGGCATACCCAGGTTTCGCTGCCATATAACAAAGTCGGTACCAACACTGAGTTATGTATTGCAAGGCGTGCACTCTTCACCACGCCTTGCCTTTTTACTAATGCATTCAGGGCACCATTGACTTTGTTTCCGGCAGCGACATGCCTATCCACATCTAAATCACATCTTCCATCCCGGCTGAAAGCACTCCCCAAGTATACAATTTCATTTACCTGTTCTAGACATTCCTGATTTACCCATATTTCACATTTCGTTCTCTCTTCGTCCTTTTCAAATACCGGAACCTTAGTTTTATTAGCATTCAAACGGAGACCTTTAATTTCACATTCCTCTTTCATACACGTGACTAATGCGTGACTAATGCTGTTAGAAATATTATGATGTTAATTATAGCGTATACAAAAAAAATTTTTAAATATCACTGTAACATTTATGTAACAAAACATTAATTTATTTAAACATTGAGAAGAACAATTTTGATATCTATAGTCAACCCTATGGATTTGGTCGGGGGATCCCCTTATTACCTTGTATTTTGTAGATTGTTAGGCCTTTTTTATTATCATTTCTTTTCATAAATCTTGTACGTACTTTCTCTTTTTTTCTTTAATTAATATTTTGACTTTTAGCTAGCTTTATTTCTCTCTATTCACGCATATATGTATTTATTTATTAAATATCAGGAACCGGAGTTTCAATTTACTTCAATTATATTTCATTTCATGATATTTATCATTCGGGTACTTTATACACATACATATGGGCCCCCCATTTACTTGGGTATTATAATCATTTTATTTTATTGGTACATATTTCTTTTCATACTGTATCAAGGTAATAGTGTACCTTGGGTTGTGCGCACAACCTTGAGGTCTACGTTTTTTAAGTCACTTTTAAAGGACTCCAACAATTGTCACAGAGGAAAACTATGTTCGCAAATGATCCAACGAAGGATGTGACCTCAATGTACCATTATTAAGGGTAACAAATTTAAGACTTCTCAGGTCCCCAACAGTACTAATATGAGTAAATCACTTGTACTTAAGGTATTGTTCCCTAGTACCCGTAACTCCTTATTTTATCATTCTATCATGGAAGCATACCCTGCTTGAGGACTATATGCTTTACCAGTGATGGACGTTCCCGTATCTCTCCATTATTTATTTCTCTAGGTCATCTTTTTTTATTATCTTCATAAATCTTTGGCTGTATCGGTTATTTTTATATTATTTCAATCTCATTCCATCTCCTTTCAATTAAGCATATCAGTTTATTAACATAACCAGAGTTTTGGTCCTAAACATTGGCTAAGATAATGTCCGATAGCCTAATTCCTTCATTCCAATAACTAGCAAAATTATTGCATAGTTCCTAATAATTTACCTAAACATCACTTACATCATCCTACATATACATTTGAAATCCATACTATTATATAAGTATTCCTTTCTTTGCCGCAGGCTTCATCAACTTTCACACATCCATATCAAAACCTCAACATTCTCATACAGTTTCCTTTCTATAAATTAACTTAACTCTTTTTTTCTGTCCTTTTTTTTACTCTTTTATGCAAACAGTTTATACTTTTAAGGCACAAACAATTGTTTTTTCCATATCACATAAACTATATGTTTTGACATAATTATTCCTATTTCGTATTTTTTTTGTTATATAAGTTGTTTAATATTTGTCCATAAGTCATTAGAGCCATTACCTAAATTCAGTAATCAAATTATCTCAACAAAAAAAAAAAGAGTATCGCACTACTTTATAGTTTCGTATTACAAAATAATAGTTTATTTTATCAAGTCTTTTTTTATCAGTTGAATACCGGATTTTAATCGGAGATAAAGTAAATGGAAAATTATAAAGTCAATATTTTGAAAGCAAATCAGGAGACAACAATAGTGTATATTAATGCATCATTCTGTATTAACTACGTGTAATATTCCGATGCCTTATATGCAAAAGATCACGTCAGCATTGTTTAGAATTTGATGCGCAATGTTAATACAAAGAAAACATGATATTACATTTGATGAATTCTTAAATAATATCTATATAAAATATTGCAATTTTTATTATTAATAAAATATATCAGTTTGCGTTATTAAGTTAAGATGCGTTATAAATTAATATTATTCACCGATCAATTTATCTTTTACAAAATTTATTCATTGAGTTGTCGTTTATCTGATAGCAATATAATAAAGTTCCCATTTTATCATTCATTATGTTAAATATTTTAGAACAAAATAGATAATTAAAATAAGCACGCTAAAATAATAAGGATATATTATATAGGCACTTGATTTCTATTGAGTATTCGGTAAAAAAAAAACCAATCTAAATATGAGTGGTGACTAAAGTTATTATATTTTTAATTTTATGAAATTAGAATTTTGAAAGAGATAAATATTTAAAATCACTCACCTTAAAAATATAATCATATAATTTGCATTTTATACAGTATTTGTTTTGCAGATACATCAAGCATATTTTTCACATTATAGTCTCTATTAATTTTTTTTTGTTTCTTGCAAATAACATACTTTCTGTTTTCTTGTAGATGGAGTACTCGAAAAATTCAGTCCACCTAAAAACTGGCCACTCGATTAAATTCTTGATAATTTTATGTTTTGATAAATATTTTTTTAGTTCCCATCTCTGGGCTGGGGCTCCCCAGTACCAGCTCCTTCCACTTGACCGCATCCAGCGCAGAGCGGCTCGAATCGTCGACGACCGAGTGCTTTCCGATCGGCTCGATTCACTGGCGCTGCGAAGAGATGTTGCATCTCTTTGCGTATTTTATCGCATCTATCACGGGGAGTGCTCTGAGGAATTGTTCGGATTAATCCCAGCCGCCAAATTTCGTGAACGCACTACGCGGCAAACGTCCCGATACCATCCACACCATCTGGATGCTTGGCGGTCCACCACTGTACGTTTCAAAAGGAGTTTTCTTCCGCGTACAACCTCTCTGTGGAATAATTTACCACCGGTGATTTTTCCGGACCGATACGACCTGGGGACCTTCAAGAAAAGAGCTTACTCCTTTCTAAAGGGCCGGCAACGCACCTGCAATTCCCCTGGTGTTGCGGTTGGTCATGGGCTGCGGTAGTCACTTAACATCAGGTGAGCCACATGCTCGTTTGCCCCTTCTTCTATAAAAAAAAATATCTCCTTTTTGTTTCGCTTGGTTGTTACGAGATTTTGATAATCTTGATAGTGTAAAATTTCATAAGTGAACACCGTTGCGTACTTCATTTTAGATCTTCTCAAACAATATTCTTCTTATCCGGAGTGAAAAAGTTATCTTCTCTTATCCTCTCTTCTCCTTTTAGATGCATCTTTGCCTTTTGATTTTATACTTCTTATGTTTTAATTTTATTTTGTAAATATTTATTCACAATGATATAACTTTTTGATGGCTGGCTCTACACGACTTTAATTAATTTTCTCAATCCGGTAATGTGAAATAATTTTTAATATACAATTTTTTACGTATTTATTATTATTTTACTATCGGTGGCCAGCCAGTGCACGCGGTGAGCGGAGTCGCGCGCGCCCCGACTGGCAGGGTCGCCATGAAATGTTGTACGGTTGTTAAATAAAAGGGAGACGTGTTTTCTCTATTCAAGACTTTAATTATACTGTTTTTATTCTACACTTAACACAAATATATATAATTTCGTGGAGCCACACTACAATGGCCTATTGAACAATCATTATGGTACAGCTGTAGAACATCCGGTACTTTAGCTTTAGGGACAACCATTTGCAAATGACAGCTGTCTCCCCGAACATTTTCCCATTTACAGCACAGAACTCCATCCTGAAGCAGCAAGCTGTCCCACCGGGCCCAATAGCTTTTAGTGGTCGAACTCATCGCTGAAACGTCGCTCCACTTGAGCTTGGGAGCACTGGCCTTCATCCATTGCAGAATTGATGTCCGGACCTTCCTGCTGTGCACGTTGTAAGTTGTCCTTCCACTCGTTGCTGAGGTGGTCTGTCCTGAGCATCCTCACGGATACCACTTCCATACTCTCTTGCCTAGTACAATGTTTGCAATCTTCAGGACAAGGTCTTCTTGACAATACATCTGCGTTGCCATGAGATTTCCCGCTGCGATGTTCGATCTCAAAGTCGTATTCCTGCAGTAGTTCATTCCACCTCGCAACTTGTCCTTCTGGATTTTTAAACTGCAATAGCAATTTTAGTGCAGCATGGTCAGTTCGTAAGTAGGCGGCGGCGGAAACTATGACACGCGGGGTTGCGATAGTCGTTGAGAGGATTCGGCAACTTGGTCTCGAGGTGGCTCTGCACAAGTCCGAGGCCATGCACTTCCATGGTCCTCGGAACAGGCCACCACCGGGATCCTCAGTGATGGTAGGAGGGGTATCCATCGGCGTCGAGTCGACGCTGAAGTACCTAGGACTCGTCCTCGACGGCCGATGGAACTTCGTTGAGCACTTCCGACGTTTGGCTCCCAAACTGGAACGGACCGGGGCTGCCTTCAGGCGGCTCCTGCCGAACCTGGGAGGGCCAAACGCCTCCTGCCGGAGGCTCTACGCGGGAATCGTGTGGTCCATGGCCCTTTACGGGGCCCCGGTGTGGGCGCGTGGTTTGGCGCGGCTTGCCGTCCACCACCTGAACGCGCCCCAAAGGGTGATTGCCGTGAAAATGGTTCGCGGCTACCGCACGATCTCCCGCGAGGCGGCGAGCCTCCTTGCCGGATTGCCGCCGTGGGATCTGGAGGCGATAGTCCTCGCGCGCCTGCACGAATGGCGCGCGGAGGCACTGTGCCGTGGGGAAACCCCGCTGCCGCGGCAAGTTGTCGCGCAGCGGACAGACTTCCGGCACGATCTCATGGCGACATGGAGACAGCGACTGTCGCAACCCCGTGCTGGGCACGCCACTATAGCGGCGATAAGACCCCTCTTTGAGGAGTGGCTTGAGAGACGCCACGGCATCCTCACCTTCCGCCTGACGCAGGTCCTCACCGGACATGGTGTGTTCGGGAGGTTCCTGCACCGAATCGGGCGGGAGGAAACGCCCGGGTGCTCCCACTGCGAGGATGGACCGGAGGACACGGTGGAACACACCGTAGAGGTGTGCCCTGCTTGGGCGGAGCACCGCCGTGTCCTCGTAGCGGCGATAGGCGGCGGCGACCCCTCGCGTCCGGCCCTGGTCGAAGCCATGGTCCGGAGCGAGACGGAATGGGATGCCGTCACCACCTTCTGCGAAGCAGTGATGCTAGCGAAGGAGGTGGCGGAGCGGGAGAAGGAGAGAGCAGCAGCTTTCCTCCCCGGCCGCCGCGGGAGACGCCCCGGGCGTCGGGGGCCACGTCGTGGCCGCCGGCCACCGTAGGCGCGGGCCTGTGGACGGCGAGCAATGGATAGCTCGCCGTCCGTCCGTCTAACGACGACAGGCCGTGTCGACGGCGCGTTTTGTTCCACGCGCGCCTCAAAGAGCTGTCAGCAGAGTGAAGGGGCCCGCAAGGGCCGACGCCTGCCGGGGCTTTGGGCTGTTCGAAAAAGATACCGCGGCTCCGGAACGTAAGGGCACTGAAGGAACACGGATGGTTTTTAGTCAGTAAAAGTCTGACACTCCCTTACGCTCCACCCAGAGCGAAAGGCGTCATTAGATGATTTTCCATCCGCAAAAAAAAAATGGTCAGTTCGTAAGTGAAATTTTCGTCCCAGAAGATATTTGCTAAAATGCTGCAACGACTTTAACACAGCTAGCAATTCGCGTCTTGTGACAATAGTTCCTTTCCGGTTTTGACAACGACTTGCTGAAGTACGCTATCACGACCTCTTGGTCACCATTCCGTTGAGACAACACACCGCCAAGTCCTATATCACTTGCGTCTGTGTCAACTTCTTTGCTTGCATCAGGGTATCCCAAAATAGGTGTATTGCACAGACGGTCCTTGAGCTCCTGGAATGTGATATTGCAACCTTCATCCCAGCAGAAATGTCGCTTCTCCTCGGTTAGCTTGTGCAGAGGTTTTGCTATATCTGCAAAGTTCTTCACAAATCGCCGATAATAGGAGCACAAACCCAAAAATGCTCTAACCTGCGTTTTGTCTTTTGGAACCGGCCAATCCTTGACTTTCTCCTGATCCGTGCGGATACCTTCTTCCGACATTACATACCCCAAAAAGTTGACTTGTCGTTTGAATAGTGAACATTTGTTCGGACTCAACTTGAGGTTGGCACTCTGAATCTTCATGAGCACGCGTTCCAGGTTTTGAAGGTGTTCCTCAAACGTACGGCCCACGATGATGATCTCATCCAAGTAGACCAGACAGGCATCGCAAATTATCCAGGTAAGTAAAAGCATCATCAGCCTTTAAAAGTTGCTGGAGCATTGCACAATCCTAACGGCATTATTTTAAATTGCCACAGACCCTTTCCCGTCGAGAACGCAGTTTTCTCCTTATCCTTAGGGTCAATTTCAACTTGCCAGTAGCCACTTTTTAGATTCAGCGTGCTAAACCACTTTAATCCTGTAAGCATGTCCAGCGTGTCATCAATTCGTGGCAAGGGATAGCTGTCCTTCTTTGTAACGTCGTTCAGACGGCGGTGGTCAACACAGAAACGCATGCTGCCGTACTTCTTCTTTACCAGCACCACGGGTGCAGTGGGGTCTCGAGGGCCTGCCCCATGAGTGTCTCATCGATACAATTGATTGTTAATCTCAAAATATCAAGCCTAACATTAGTCCGAAAAAGGCAATAAACACTAAAAAAATAACAAATAAATATTTTATAAAATAAGAAAAAAAATTGTAAAAAAGCAAGCTAACTGGTTAATTGTTCTCGGCCCCGGGCGACCGTTGTCTGGTATACGGTGCCCTCGAGGTCTTCCACCACGGCCTCCGCGACCGCGCGCTACCACCACCTCAAGTTCAGCTACCACTTCCACCAGTAAACCAACCGCCGCCGCCGACATTCTCCCACCGCGGACTCGCACACCTCTATCGCGTCGCGGACTTCTTGTTTCACTTGTTAATCAAGTGCAAAAAATATAATGACGACATGCACACACAAAAAACAAAACAATTTACTGAAAAAAAAATAAAACAAAACAAATAAGAAAAGCAAATAAAAATCCACACCAAAAATTATCGTAAAAAATACCAACACTGGCATTCCCAAAATCGTATCCATACAATACAACCTGCTCTCTAAGATGGCGGATTTCGTGTGAATAACTTTGCGAACCATGTCTGTCCGCGACCGCCAGGTGGACGCGAGATTTAAGCATTTTTATTTCTAGTTTTATGAAATATTTAATCGAAACTATACAAATGTAATTATTGTTGTGTTTGTAGATAAGCATGTTAACGATATTAAAACAATGTTTACCATTCACAATTGTACTTTTAATTTAAAACAATTGAAATTAATACGAACATGGTATCAACATGGCGGTCGAAATGGCAAGCAATGTTTGATTAAATGGAACAATGTATGTACAAATCGTCATCTAATATGTTTTAAATTAATGGAAAAGTATTTATGACTTACCCATTCATGCTTATCTTTAATATTAACTTCCGAAATCGCTTTCAACAATTAATACTTTGCACGTAAACACACGACCCCGTGTCGCAGAACGAACAACTGAACGGACTAAATGTATTACTATTTCAAAGCTTCTATGGTTCGTTTATGACGCGTGTGTGACATTATTTGCTGTTTTTGTTTAATTCTCTGCATGTTGTACCAGTTATAAGGAGATACGTATATATTTACTAGGGCTGTTTCGAATCTGAAGTTTATAAGTAAACAGCAACCTTCTAATGGTTGTGGACAGATGCGTACTTTTTGACAGCAACCTTGAGAAGGTTTTGGACTGACGAGAGGACATTATTAGATGCATTATAATGCATAACCTCTCACAGATGCATTATAATGCATAACATCACAAAATCCTCCCAAATCTGGAACAGACTGAACTTAATCGTAGCCAGTAATGACTGAATTTGAGTATTGGGTCTATTCATAGGAACTGAAGTACGTACGTTTATGTTATATTTAATAAATCTATGATTGTCATGTGTTCGAGTCAATATATCCTCTAGTTATTCTATTTGTAATAATATTTCACCATTTTGAGTCATTAACCAATTTCTAACTGAAACGCTATTAGGTTGAATTTTAAAGAGTTTGTTATATTTAAGAGATAAAGTTTCTGGTTTTAACAATGGATTAAATCTCTTAAGTATAACAACGCATCTACATCACAAAATCCTCCCAAATCTGGAACGGATTGATTTCTTTTAATCATAGCCAGCAATGATTGAATTTGGGTATTGGGTCTATAGATAGGAACAGAAGTACGTAAATTGGGTCGTAACCCATCAAAATGTACTGTTTTATAATGATTAAATTAATACTCAGGATTGAAATTAGAGTCTTCAAGGTTCAATACTATGTCACATTCTTGAACCATCAAAGGATCGAAAGGTGTAGTTTTAAATAGAATTTCCCGGTTATACCTGATATTAAAAGTTTGTAAATATAAAATATCCGATAATTCGAGATTTGGATAAAGAATGTAAAAAGCTTAGTAAATTCCTCCATTAGTTTTACTGTAGTTAAGTCAAACTCTCTATACTTCTTGTTACAGTGTAAATTGCTTCTGTAACGTTATTAAAATTTTTTATGGTTGTTCAGTTTTTTTTGCGCCCGAAACAAATATAGGCAACCCTCCGAAAAGCGGGCGAGGGAGGTGGTTGGTTATGTGGAGACTTTTACCCACTAAACCCCACCTTTAGGGATTGGCTTACGTTAAGGATCTGAGACGGAGAAGGTTAATGCCACATAAGTATTTATTGCAGATAATATAACATTAGTAATCAATGGGCGTAAAATGCGTCCCGAGGCTTTTACATCACTCCAAATGCTGTTGAACCAAGCAATTAACCGAAAACGGTAAAACCACCAATATGTGTAATGATAGATCCGGTAAAGTTCTTTAACTTTGTTACCAGTAGTTCTAAGTTAAGGTTTAAGGCAGAATCTTTAAAATTGCTAAAACCTAATTTAATTTTAAGTTTTCTAAAGGACAATGACATACTCTGGGTCTGGACTGCATTATACATCTCTATGAGTGTGAGGGAATCTAGATTCGATATGACAACAAAAACGGTTGTATGTGCTTGTCCCAATCTCGTTGCCGATTGTCTACAACTTTTGCTAGGTACCTCTCCAATGTCTGATTAAATCGTTCTACCATTTCATCAGAGTAACCCATAACTCGGCAAGTTCCCTGGAATATTTGAGACTCAAAATTCCTTCCTTGATCGCTGTGAATCTCTAAAGGTACTCCAAAACGACAGAAGACTTCATGAACTAGTTTATCTGCAACTGTTGAAGCTTCTTGATTTGGAATGGCGAAGACTTCCGGCCACTTAGTGAAGTAATCCATCACAACCATGAAATACTTGTTACCGCTTTCACTCTCCGGAAACGGCCCCGCCACGTCAATGGCTATTCTCTCCCATGGTGCACCAACATTGTACAACTTCAACGCACCTCTACTACGAGTCTGAGGTCCCTTTACAGCCGCACAACTTGTACATTTGCGACACCAGTCCTCGACATCGTTTCGACATTGGACCCAGTAAAACCGTTCTAGGATCTTCAGTAGAGTTCGTTTAACTCCCAGATGGCCTCCTGAACAATCATTATGGTACAGCTGTAGAACATCCGGCACTTTAGCTTTAGGGACAACCATTTGCACATGACAGCTATCTCCCCGAACATTTTCCCATTTACGCACAGAACCATCCTGAAGCAGCAAGCTGTCCCACTGGGCCCAATATCTTTTAGTGGTCGAAGTCATCGCTGAGACGTTGCTCGACTTGGGCTTGGGAGCACTGGCCTTCACCCATTGCAGAATCGGCTTGATGTCCGGATTTTCCTGTTGTGCACGTTGTAAGCTGTCCACTCGTTGCTGAGGTGGTCTGTCCTGAGCATCCTCACGGATACCACTTCCTTACTCTCTTGCCTAGTACAATGTTTGCAATGGAGTAACGTCACGGACGCCTGTCCTGAGATACATAGTTAGTGAGTCGGAAGAGTTTATGTAAATTTAAAATTATTTGGACGTTGTTTAAGTCAGAATTTTTGTGCAAAAGTTAAACATCTGTGTACTGCGAACCTTATATGGTGTGGATACATTAGAGTGTTTAGTGATTAGTGAATAAATAGTAAAAAAACAACACTTACATATTAAAAACATTTTATTTTTAAATGTCATCGAATAGAATTTAATAACATAATACCGTCATATAATACTGATCAACACAGCTCCATCTCACGCTTCCGTTGTGTACTAATAAATCAACGCATAATTTAGCTTTATCAACTATTAAAACTTATTGATCATGGCATTAAGTGCAGTGCGTGCGGTAAACACATGTCTCCGCAAGATGGCGCTAATGTTACTTGTACAAAGTGCAATAAACAGCTACATCGTGCGTGTGTAGGCATCGCAGTGGGCGCTTAACTAATGCCATCCTGGGCTTGCCCTGAATGCAAATTGAAAGAAAAACGTTGCAACAAGGAAACAATGCCGGTAAAACCCGCAACAATGACTGTTGCTAAATCGAGTGAGGTTTCAAACCTCGGGGAGGAATTGCGATGTTTCCAAGAAGAAATGCGGCAAACCCGCGAAGAATTTCGGGCATTCAGAGAAGAACTTCAGGACATAAAACCCTTGTCAGCAAATGCGATGCTCGTTTAGATAAGCTCGAGAACACGGTCCAAACTATCCTGGAATCACAAAATGGCTCTCAAGGATTCAAAATGAGATCCTAAAACTCGAGTCGACCGTCAATCATCTGCAAGCCGACTTAAACGATAGGGACCAGGAGTTGCTTGCAAATGACGTCGAATTAAGTGGCATTCCAGAGGAGAGTGGGGAGAACCCAACATACTTGGTTCTATCAGTTGTGACCAATCTTGGTGTTCATTTGGAGGAAAAGGAACTGGTCCATTGTATGCGAGTGGGGGGCGCCCGCCAGGATGCCTTGTCTCGTCCGCGGCCCATCGATGTGCGGCTGGTGCGGCACGACGTGCGTAAAGACGTGCTGCGCGCTGCGCGCGTCCGCCGGTCTCTAACAACCGAGGCTCTAGGTCTTAAGTCCGCACCCTGCAATATCTATATAAACGAACGACTGATTAAAACAAATAGGCAGTTGTTTCGCATGGCACGCGAGACAGGGATGGCGATATGTTTGGACGAAGGGAGGCCGAATTTTTACACTTCGTGAAGCGGGAGCTCCAATAGATCGCATTCGCTTCAACGCGGATATTGCAAAGGTTTTTGAGTCCGAATTTGTTCGATCACCATAACTGTCTCTCAGTTTACTTACAAAAAAGAATTAGTGTTTTTAATTTCTTTATTTAATTTTGTAACTATTTACTATCGTCAAGTGTTTTGTGGGTACTCGTATATACGCATAGTTATTGTAGTGAAAATCACCCACTTCAGACTGAGAGATACTGAGGACCTTTTCTAGATCAAAAATGGCAATAGTTGTATTCTTTCATCCACTGCAGCTTTTTCTTCTTCTTTTAACTGGCGAATTTTATAATAAATCAAATGAATACATGTGTTGATGTTTTTATAGAATATTTTCCGCCGCCATGTATTCCATTCTACAGGTATTAAAGTCATTTTATCAAACGAAAATTAATTGACTCTTAAGGTGGTACGTAAAGAAGACGCTAGATGGCATAATTACGGCTAATTCAATATAAAATTATAAAGCGGTAAGGTAAGAAATCGATTGTTTGCAATGGACTGGAATATGGTAGTTTTATTCATTATGGTTAATTTTATTTATTCGATTTGTTAATTTAATTAACTGTTTATTTCAACAATTAAAAGATATAATAACCTTCTTTAATAGATTACTGCTATCGAGATTTTAGTGTTAAATTTTTTATAACTGCAATGAAATTTCCTTCTTGCTTTATCCGGGCTTAGGACTGGCTGGTTAATTAAGTAACAATTAATACACAAGTTAATCTTTTAATAACACAGGTGTATTTAAAATTTCATTGTATATACATACATACTCAAATATATACAAGTACTCGTACTATATACAAGCCTAGATTATTTACACTGTTATTTACAAATGTTTAATTGTCTTGTAATTTAACCTTTAAAAAACTTTAATTGTGCCATTTTTTTGACGTTAATCTCTTTCGACGTTCGTTAATGGTAAGGCCGGTTTTACTGAAAATGCGTTCAAAAGGAACTGATGTCGCTAAAATGTTACCATAGCTCATGTACAGTTTAGCTAGGTGAGGGTACGTAAATCTATGATTTTTCCACCATTTCAGAGGGTAATTCCATTTTCTTTGCTCGTCAAACAGCTGCAACATTTCATCACTTAAATAAGTATCGACTTCTTTTATAGATCTTGACAATGGAGTGCCGAACCTGTGTTGCGTGCCTACAATATCACATAAAATTGACCATGGTGAGAAAGCGTCGTAAGGTTGCTGGTTTGATGAGGATGCCACTGGTTCTTGATGTGAACTTTTACTGCAAATAATATCCATAACCATTTCTTGCACTCTCTGAATACAGTCATTTTAATTTAAATTCTAGAAATGTGTGAATTGCAAATGTGCGGCTTTTCTCGACGCCAGCGAAACGAGTCTTAAATCCTTCATTTAAATCTCTTACAACAGTGATTGCAACTGGGGAAAAGTCTTCTAGCAATAGTTTCTCGCAGCTGTTAAGAGGCATCTCGTCATGACTATTACTGCACTTCCAGTCATATATTTTTCACCACTCAAAGAACGTGTAGCGTCATCGAATGGCTTTAAGATTTTTTTAAGTTCTTCGAACAGCTGCCATTCTTCGTTTGTGATAATCGGCAGATTTTTATCAATGACTGCTACTGTGGCTCTGATAAAATCCTTGAGTTCTTCAAATCGATTTATCATGTAATATGTGGAATTCCACCGCGTAAGTACTTCTTGTATAAGTCCTTTTGGAATATTATTGGGATTTTCTATAGTTTGGGCCTTTAATAACTTTTCAAGAGCACTACTGCTTGTTTTGTCGCAGATTTTTTTTAATTTTTTTCTAAATTAATGGCGATCTTTTTAATTGCGTCTTGTACTACAAGGTTTAACGAGTGCCCATTGCAACCATAGTGTTTCCAACCGATTTCCGAAATCGCCTTTTGTATATTGGCGGCATTATCAGAGACCACAAAGTTTATTTTGTAGCGCAGGCCCATTCGTTAGTTATAGATAATAATTTTTCTTGGATGTTCGCGCTGGTGCATCGAAAATTGAGAATTGCATAAGAATGAATTTTAATTCATATTGCTCTGTTATGAAATGCCCTATCGCGGCAATGTAACTTTCGTTTGCACGTGATGTCCATAAATCGGTTATAATGCGTAATTTGATATGATCATTCGGTCTTATCAAGTTTAGTTCTACCTTTGTTTTTTCCTTAGTTTGTTCGTAAAGAGCGGGAATCATAATGTTAGATATAGTTTGACGGTTTTGCAATACGTATCCCGGTAACCAACTTGCGAACTTTTTTAACGCTCTCTCTTCCACTATTGAAAATGGTTGATATCCTTCTATGAATAAGTCCAGTAGATCTCTATCAATCTTTTTTTTTTGATCAGCTGATATTTTTCTTGCTGTACCGTACCTGTTCATTCGTTGTTGTTGTGGATATGGTGCAGCTCGAGGTGCAGCAGTAGTCTGACTAAATTGAGGAATTGACCCGGCGACGTCAGCAGGTGGTGTGATACTACTTGCTCCTGCTGTCGTCGGTGGTTGCGACGCTGACTCGGTCGTTGGTGTAGAACGTACCTCCCGTAAAATTACACCTTGGTGCGAAGCGACTCTTTCATATGCGTCTAAATGTCTCTTACGTAAATGGCTCTTCAGATTTCCCGTAGTAGTCTTATAAAAGTCACTATAAAAGTCACCGCACAGTGTATACTTGGCCTTCATGGTTGTAGTATCTTTAATGATTTCTTAAATTTACGCGAACACTACACATTGAATAAAACTAAATTTACGGATTTTATCGCGTTTATTTCACTACTTTTACTTATTTTTAATTCCCGAAGTTTCGGGTGCTTTACAGCAACCATGGTCACGGGGGGGGACTGAGATGTTTGACGTCCCAATGTCATAGTTAGTTCGGCTACCTTCAGTTTTTGAATATTAATTTTTGGTCCGATTTACGCAAAACGAGCTTATAGTATCATGAAGTCTTGCAGTGGTATGCTTAGGTTTGGTTTAATTTTGTTAATTATAGGATCCCAAGCAGGTGGCAGCACCCATCCATCTTCTCTATTGAAATTTGGATGTTTTTATGGATCTCTTACATAGGTCAAACAAAAAGATCCATAAAAACCCGCGTGAAAGAACATATAGCTGACGTGAAGCACCGACGCTCCGGGAAGTATGCAGTCTCACAGCACGTCGTTCAATTAGTTATAAGATCTGTTTAAAATTTTTATTACCTGATACACACTGTTAGCAATAAGACGATTTAAATATAACCAGCAAAAGTTCAATAAATCAATCATTGAACAGCACCTGCCTCCCGTTCCTGTACAATTGGTAAAGCAAAAAAGGCTCATTTATATTTTGTAGACAATCATATATTTTAGTTATAAAAATATTTCAAAACAAAATATTTCTACATTTCTACAACCACAATCAAAGTATTTAAGGCACACTATTACTTAAGTAATAAAACTACTTTAAAAGTATTAAAACTTTAAAGTGTAAAATCAGTCTCAAATAGTTGTAAACAGGCACGTATTTTTGATTTAACATTATTGCCTTTTAAATTAATTAACAGACAATTAATATTATACAACAAATAATTTTGTTCTCCTTGAATATCAAGTCATCCTTATGAAACCCTTTCTATTATTACGAGGAATGATACAATTATTGTAGAAGTTATTAAAACTAAAAACTATTATCTTTATCCGATGTATCAAAAATTTCTAAATTAGGTGTGCGTTACCAAATTTCTATAAAACCCTTGGTAATGCAATGATATAATATTGGTATCACATGGACTTATTAAAACCTTATATAAAGCATTCGAAATTGGTAGACATTTGTCATAAGCAGGCATGAGTTCATTTGAACTCTGAGGGCTAATATTTGTTTTACGTGTACGTGATGAGGTACGATTTGTAGTGTCTAAAACCAAGTAATCATGTTTTTCAAAATCGTACTTAAAAAATAACTTGTTTGGTGTCTCAGGACATGCTTTAACTTCCTTTATTTTTGAGAAAAGACTTTATTGCCGTTTGTGTCGTGAATCCAGTTTTTAATAGATGTTACTTGAGACTTAAAATTGTAAAAATTTGCCTGTTTTATTTCATTAACAATAAATTTATTTTGAATTTTCGCATTCATTATTATTTTATATAATTGATCGAATGTATATAGTGTTTTATTTTTCATATTATTTTTATCCAGCCATGCATTGTATTGCCTTCATTTTGTGTGTGTCCTGTCTGTAAAAATCGGTAAATAATTTCTAAGTGTAATGTACGTGAAACAAATAGATACATCCAAAAAATCTATTTATTTCTATTCTGGCCAGAATAATTGTCGGAGTATAACGAAAGAGACTTTATGCCTCTACAAGCTTCGGCTTCAAGAAATTTATACAAGCAACTTGCGATTTCATTAGCACCTCTTTTTGCAATTCGAGTGTGCCATAGGAAACAATAACCCTGTCGTGAAATGAAATTATATATAGTAAAATTATATGCTGGGTATTTTCTTTTATAATGTAAAATACCCACATTTGACTGAGGCAGACTTAGTACCTTCTCCAAATCAAATACAGCTACAGTTTTTAATTTTGGGTCTGCTGAATATTTTTCCTTATTCTTTATTTCTCTAACAATACTCTTATTTTTAATATGACTTTCGTACTGCTGCTGGAGCTGGAGTTTAGCCTCTTCCGTTACATTTTCATATTCACTGCATATTTTACAAATGCCTTTTTTTGTTCTGAAAAAAAAAAGAAAGGTTAAACTGCGTATTACATATTTGACTATATTAGTATTCACTTGGAACTTTTATATTTTGAAAGGTTTCGTTTTCTGAAACCCAGACTTTATATAACCGGTGCATTTTTTGAAATATTCAAGTCCTGTGATAAATATTGTCGGGTTGTTTTTGCCGTAAATAGTGAGACTCAATACAAGGGAATGATGTTATATGTTGTGTAACACTTTGCTCGGTGGCATTTGTTGTTCTATGAGGTCGGTTTGCGTGCTTACCCCGTAGGTCTGTTATTTGTTCACCATTATTATACTTATTAATGACCGAGTAAACCGAGAAAAGCCTAGCATTAATCCTTCGAGTTCCAACCGATTACGTATTTTGTTTTATTATATTTGCGCGAAAATGGATTGAAGATTACTATCTAGTGACAGTGACAGTGATTTGGAAATGCTAGCTCAGTTATCTGACTCGAGTGATGAAGATGAAGATGAAGATGAAGAGAATCAGAAGAGTGAACTATACACAAAGTCTCGATGACGGTGATTTTACCTTTAGGTTTCGATTGAACAAACATGCGTTCAATTCTTTATTGTTAGAAATAACCTCATTTTTACGAGTAACATCCACGAGGTAAAGCAAAGCTGGTCTATAGCAAATTAGATAATTTTTTACAATCTATATAATATACTTCATTTTATGTAATCCTTTGCAGAAATTACGGAGTATCAACATTGCATCAACTTTTGTTGACCCTACGGTTGTTGTACGGTGTTGGAGTGTCAAAATCTACAGCAGGCAGAATAGTGCGAGACACAAATCATCAGCAATTGCCCAATTATATGATAAATATATTTATGTTCATCGAAGGAATGCAGACAAATTCTATAGAATTGCTGGATTTCCTCGTGTGCTTGGGGCAATTGATGGCACACATATCCACATACAGTCTCCATGTAAGTTACTATACTCAACTCATCTTATTTTTGGCAAATATGAATAAACTATGAAGTTGCTAATAATAATGTTTATATTGTATTACTTATAACGTTTATATTATAGGTCATTTAATAGGCGAAGAATACAGAAATCGAAAGGGTTACTTTTCTTTAAATGTTCAAGGTGTTTGTGATGCAGATTTAAAATTTATAAATGTTGTGGCTCGTTGGCCTGGTTCTACGCATGATGCAACTATATTTAATAACTCTATTCTGAGAGGTAGGTATAAATAATATGTTTTCAAATTGTAATAAATTTGAATATTTACTGTCAGAGCCTAATATTCTTTATTTTTATAACAGCTGAATGTGATGCAGGGCAATTCGGAAATCGCTGGTTACTTGTAGATAGTGCCTATCCAAACAGGCCATATTTATTAACACCTGTTCTGAATCCAGTTTCTGAAGGCGAATAAAGGTACAATGAAGCACTCATTAAAACTGGCAATACCATTGAACGGTATGTTAAATAAACAGTATTATTAGATAAAATGTGTTATGGGAATACTGGTTTAATAAACAAATTGTTTGTATTACAGAGCATTTGGAGTATGGAAACGTAGGTTCCCTGTTGTAGCTCCTACACTACTTTTGTCAATACCAAATATGCAGGTAATTATAGCAACTACAGTCCTACATAATATTTGCAGAAATCACAATCTCACAGAAATCCCCTCTGAAGTAGAACTACCATCTATCGACAATAGTACAACGCCTCATAATGTAGTTATTAATGATATTCCTACAAACCATAGAACTGATTTAATAAATTATTTTATGACATTATAGAAACGTTGACACTCATTGCACGAATAACTCCCGTAATTAACATTACAGGTAAAAACAATTGTGTAGAATAAGTTAGAAATTAATTTGTTAGTATTTTGTTAGTTTTAAATTTAAATGTAAAAATAAAGCAAGTATTAAAAATTAATTTCTCTATTAAAATACACATTAATTACTATAACACTGAGATATTTATAAAAAGGAACTTAAATTATAACTGCCTTGTACCTTTTGTACCACATATGTGAGTAATAGTACTTAATCTTTTTAAAATGTTGTTAAATTGAAATAAACTGTGAAGTTGCTATTAACACGTTGAACGCCATGGGGGTCACCGGTGACCTCATCTGGTTTACTTTATTGCGCCATGGGGGTCACCGGTGACCTCATCTGGTTTACTTTATTGCGCCATGGGGGTCACCGGTGACCTCAAGCGAGAGGCATATTCGAAATGTATTTTTGGGCCGCCGGTCACGCGTGTCGTACATTTCGTGTATGCGAGTGACCGCTTTGGCGCTATAGAGTAATCCTTTTCAAGGGGACGTGGCTACTTAGAAAATTTTAGGAAATATGTACAATATCCTTAAGATAAAATAAAAAAGCGACTAATTTCATGATACATGACTTTTAATCACATTAAATCTTAAAGCTATTACAATGCACATTATTAAAAATATAAAACAAACAATATAAACTTCAAATTAAAAAAAAATGTCTTCATACACAGGAAAAAATCCAGGAAATGCTACAAAAATTACCATTGAAATAAAAATGCAATCAGAAAAAATTAAATCAATAATTGACTAGAAAGAACTAAACATAACGATGGATCTTATTAAAACAGGATAAACAGATATGTGGGTTTCCATCACATTGAGCGCAAAAAGTATTAACCTTTTTAGCTTTATTTTTCGCCAATTTTCATCCAAACTGCTTTACCATATCTTTGTAACAGTGTACACAAAATCGTCTAGTATTTCTCACTGTCCCAGTTTTTGTTAGCAACTCGTGCTTCAAACGTTTGGGTCTTGATACCGTTACTCCTGACTCAGTCTGCTGAGAATCTGACGAGCTTGTTAGATAGTCTACTAGAGATTTCCGAAACTCTACGATTGACATTTTTGTGTTCCTAGTTTCGGTAAACATAATCCATGCATTTACTACGGCAGTATTCAACAAAATCTCAATACCAAGTTTCCGGTACCACTTAATAGTTTTACGTAAGGGAGAAGAATACGACGACATTTGGTCGCTCATATCGACAGATCCTTTTGACTTATTATAATCTAAAATCACTTTCGGCTTAGTAATCTGTTTGCCCTTTTTGGCGATTGTTGACATTTTATCAGAATGTTTAGTAGAAAGCATCATCACGTCCCGCTTATCTTTCCATTTTAAAATTGTTATACCATCCTCGTTTTCCATGGCCATGAACTCTCCCTTTTGAAGTTTGGCTTCTACTACATCCTTAGGTAAACCTCTTCGGTTTTTCCTAATAGTCCCAATCAAGTGCGTTTGATGTTCCAGTAAGTTGTAAGCCAACTCTAAGCTGGTGTACCAAATATCAGTTGCCAAAGTGTGGCCTTTGTTTAATATTTGGCTACAAAGAGACATTACCACTGATGTAGGCGTAGTATTTACGGTATCGATATTTTTACCGCCATACAACGAAAATTTGCGGGTGTACCCGGGAATAGTACATAGTTTGAATAGCTTTAAACCATATTTATGGCGTTTACTTTTATTGTATTGTCTAAATACAATCCGCCCTCTGAATGGAACCTGACTTTCGTCGACACAGATGTCTTCTTTCGGTGAATAATACTTTTGAAACGTATTATTGACCATATCTATAATCGGTCTTATCTTAGAGATTCGATCAGATTTATTTGCGGTTTCATTATCACTAAAATGTAGGTACTGTAGGATTATTTCGAATCTATTGCGGCTCATGACGGTACGTGGAAATGTCTGTCCTAAGATTTTATCTTTGCTCCAGTAATAGCTTAACTTTGGGAGTCTCACAAGACCCATGTATAGGATAAGTCCAAAGAAACGTTTAATTTCATGTCTGTCTGTTGGCTTCCAAGCATGAGATCTTGATGAAGGTTTTACATTTCTCGATTCGCAGGATTGTAAGGCGAATAAGTTGGTCTGCTCTACAATCATATCGAAAATTTCATCAGACACTAAAAGACTATAAAAAGCTCCCGGGTCTGCTTCTTTTAATATAGTAGAAAATTCTTTGTTCATACCTGAAGTTTCGGTAAATGGTATAATAGATGGTTGTTGACGCCTAGGGCGTGACCATTTCTTTGACACACGATCTGAGGCGGTAATATTGGCTGTCACATAATTTCGAACGGAGTCAGACTCACTCTCACTGTCGCTTTGGATGATTAAACGTCTTCGTTTTTTCGGAATATGCAACTGTTCTTCGTTTGAATCCGACAACTCTAGATCTGATTGATTATCTTGTTCATTCTGCTGTATAATGCTAGTCTCGAGTAATGTTAATGCCCGCAAATCTTCCTGTGTAAAATCAAAATCTTCCATGTCCACCTGCATTTCTTCAAAATTTTTACTGCTAAATATTTCCATTTTTAATTATTTATTGCAATGTTCATAATATTCAAGTTCACTGCACACAATATCACACTAATTAAGTACTTGACGCAAAGTATTACAGCAACATAGAACACTCACGTTTTCTCTTCACGGGCGCTAGCGCAGTACTGAGCGGGTGGGTGGCCGACGCGGTGACCGGCGTGGCGCCTTCGTAACGGAAACTATTTTTATTACTTTATAGCGCCATGGGGGGCACCGGTGACCTCAAGGGTTTTTTTTTTGTTATATTTACGGAACCCTATGGCAGATTCTTATGAAAAACAGTATACATACATATCTTGATGAAATACATAAATTACAAGTTTTTTTTTACAAAAAACTTTTTTCTATAATGGCGTTTAACGTGTTAAGTGTTACTTTTCTTTATAAATTGTTTGTGAATTTCATCATCATCATCATCATTACAGCCCTTCACAAGTCCACTGCTGAACATAGGCCTCCCCCAAGTAATGCCACAAAGCATGGTCCTGAGCCACCTGCATCCATCGACTTCCTGCATGTCTTACCAGGTCGTCACTCCATCTAGTGGGGGGTCGCCCTACACTACGCCTACCGGTACGAGGCTGCCACTCGAGAACCTTTCTTTCCCATCGGTTATCGGTTCTTCGAGCTATAGCCGGCCGAGCCGAGCCGAGTATATGGCCGGCCCATTGCCACTTCAGCTTACTAATCCGTTGGGCTATGTCGGTCACTCTGGTTTTACTGCGGATATCCTCATTTCTGAGTCTATCACGCAGTGAAACTCCGAGCATAGCCCTCTCCATAGCTCGCTGAGCGACCTTGAGCGTCCTCATACGGCCAGCGGTGAAGGACCACGTCTCAGATCCGTAAGTCATCACTGGCAACACGCACATAACCAGTGCGTGTTGCACTTTAGTTTTCAGAGATTGAGGTATACCTGACGAGAAGATGTGTCGTAATTTCCCGAACGCTGCCCAGCCGAGTTGAATCCGTCGATTGACCTCTCGGTCGAAGTTGGACTTACCTACTCGGACTATTTGTCCCAGGTAAACGTACTCGTCAACAACTTCGAGCATAGTGCTCCCAACAACTACCGGCATAGGTGTGACATGGACATTAAACATGATCTTTGTTTTGTCCATGTTCATCTTAAGACCTATCCGTTGGGAGACACCATTGAGGTCATTGAGCATAGTGCTAAGGTCCTCCAGCGATTCTGCCATAAGGACTATATCGTCGGCAAATCGAAGGTGAGTGATGTACTCGCCATTGATGTTAATACCGTATGTCTTTCCAGTCCAGTAGCTTGAAAACGTCTTCCAACGCAGCTGTGAAGAGTTTCGGGGATATAACATCACCCTGTCTTACACCTCTCTGCAGTTGGATAGGTTTCGTACTCTGATTTTGTACTCGGATAGCCATCGTAGCCCCACTGTACAAACACTTCAGCACTTCAATATACCGACAGTCAACTAGGCACCGCTGAAGAGACTGTAGCACCGCCCAAATTTCGATGGAATCAAAGGCTTTCTCATAGTCCACATACGCCAGGCAAAGTGGCAGATTGTACTCTTCGGACTTCTGTACAATTTGCCGAAGGGTATGTATGTGGTCTATGGTACTGAAACCTTTTCGGAAACCGGCTTGTTCGGGAGGCTGGAAGTCGTCGAGTCTGCGTGCGAAAAGACTCTCGAAAACAGCACGTAGACGCGGCTCAGAAGGGAAATCGGTCTGTAGTTCTTCAAGAGAGCGTTGTCGCCTTTCTTAAAGAACGTTTGTGAATTTAATTATATTTATTAATTTAATTAATTTTATTATAGTAATTAATGTATATTATAAAAATATACATTAATTACTATAATATTGATAAATTTATATAAAAGAAGTCAAATAATTATAACTACCTTCTATGTTTTTATGTCTCCATGTAACTTTGTACTGGTGACTAACTAGAAATCAGAAATCACAAGTGGTACTTTTCTTTAAATGTATTGTATTTAAAGAAAAATTCAAGTTTAAAGTTTATGAACGATGTAGCTCATCGGTCTCTTTACCAACTGCATAAAGCAACTATTTTTTATTAACTGTTTTGAGATGTGCGTCCAAATAATATGTGTTCACATTGTAATGTGATGTGATGCGGGCTTGCACTGATGTTAAAGGTTAAAAATTGAATGTAGAATCAGTTGTTCATTTTTTATTAAAGTTTATAAATTTAATTATAAAATTCTTAAAATCAATAAAAATTATTTTTCTCTATTAAAATACAAATATTACTATAATACATAGACATTTATAAAAAAGTATTTAATTTGTAACTACCTTTTCCTCCTTTTATACCACATATCATCCACATAATAGTCTCCAAGTAAGTAAAAATACTTACCCTTTTTAAATTTTTGTTCAAGTTTAAACACAAGTTGCTAATAATAATGTTTATATACAGGGTGGGCCATGAATTAGTTAACATTTGAAAAAAATCGTTTAAAAAAAACCATTTAACATATTTTAGAAATCGTTTATTTACGAGAAAGCTAATTAGTTGTAATTTATTTTTTAAAAATTATTTCGTCTAAATGACCACCGTTTCGGTTTTTGAACTCATCTAAGCGAGTCCTGAAGTTTTCGAATACTCTTCTGCAAAGAGACCGCGAGATCGCCGACATCTCTTCGATGATTTTTTCTTTAAGTTGACGGCAGTGTATTCGGTTTATCAATGTAGACACGACTCTTTAAATAACCCCATAAAAAGAAGTCTGCTGGGGATAGATCTGGACTTCTGGGTGGCCATGGGATGTCACCCCGTCTGGATATCAGCTTTTCCAGAAACATGTCTTTGACCACCGGCAAGGACTCGTTCGATGTGTGACACGTGGCTCCATCTTGTTGAAACCACGTGTTACGATTATAGCCAGCAAATTCCAGTAGCATCTGTGCTAAGAACTCCCGTAACATTTTCACATACTCGGCAGAATTAACAGTAACTGAACGGCCTCGAGAATCTTCAAAAAAGTAAGGTCCGATGATTCCTTTTGCTGAAATTGCAGCCCATACAGTTACCTTAGGAGAGTGAAGTGGCCTCTCATGTTTAGCTTTAGGATTTTCGCTGCTCCAATACCTGCAATTCTGTTTGTTTACATGTCCATTTAGGTGGAAATGGGCTTCGTCAGAAAATAAGATGTGTGAAAATTACTGAAACGAGTTAACATTGTTTCGGCATATGACTTACGCAAATTTAAATCATTAGGGTTTAGTTCTTGCACTAGCTGAATCTTATATGGATGTAATTTCAAATCTAATTTCAAAATACGGCGTAATGATGTGCGGGATAATCCTAATTCAGCCGAACGTTTGCGTGTCGATAAATCTGGATCACGTCGAACAGAAGCGGAAACTTGCTGCACGTTCTCTTCGCTCCGAGAAGTCCGTGGGCCGCCGGTTTGTTTCACATTTAGTGTAGATCCCGTCTCTTCGAACTTCTTCACCCATTTCTTTATTAAAGGAGCACTTGGACACTGACTTAAGTCGTGTAAACCATATTCAACGCGTCTCACAGTAATGAGCGAAAAGTCGTTTAAATAAAACTGTTTCACGCAGTAAGCGCGTTGCGGCCCCGTGAAGCGATCCATTGCGACTAAATTTCCAAGAAGCGAGCTAATGCCCCCGCCCGCGCCCGCGGCCCGCGCGGCAATAGTTTGCGCGGTAAGTTACATTTAAATGTTAATCACAAGTGTTACTTTTCTTTATATTTTGTGAATTTAATTGTTAAAATAAAACAAATATTCAATACAAATGATTTTATTCTTTAATTACTATATTACTAAGACATTAATCAACCTTTAATACATTTATTACATACATATTTTATTAGTTTAAAAGATTTTCATATACAAACTATATAACTACTAATATTACAAATCATGAATACATATACAAGGCAACTACTTACAGACATATGACTGTCTTTTATATATCAAAATACATAATTATTTTTTACACTTACATACTATTACACAAATAACTATTTCTTAAAAATTTCTATTTCTGATAAAAGTTTTTTATTTTCTAATTTTGACTCTAGGCACAGTTTTTTAAATGTATAATATTCTGCAATGGCACGGTCTCTAGCAGATTTGGACCCATCACTCTGCAATTTCCTTTTACCTGTAAAATACAAATTAATTTAATTTATTAAATTACAAGTTATAGCCTTTTTTTAACCCGGCAGAACTCGCGCCATTAAATGTTACGCAAGCACTCGCGTATACAGCATTTTGCTCACGCTAAACAAACAGTCTTTTAAATACCTAAAACATAGCATGTGTTTTTTTTTGTTATGAACATAATAATACACATTATATTTTATGAATTAATTATTTATTGAAAGTAAAAACAATGATATACGTTTTTTTACGACATTAACATTTAGGAACTTACATTTGGCAGTCTTCTCATGTAGGGTTTGGAAAAAAAACTCAACTTAAATTTTTTTAAAACAAAACATAATATCTTAATCCTCATCATATAACCTAGACTTACTCATATCACACAAAATTTTTGCATGTTCTGGACATAATTTTTTTTACAGTAAACACAAGTCTTTTTTGTTTTGCGATTTTTATGCCTTGGGCACACCGCACATATTCCAGGAGGTGTTTCAGTTTCGGAAACGTCTCTTTTGTTTTAAAATTATAATCTATTTAAGGGGATATGATATATTTTGCAAAGAGCTTCTTCGGTTGATGTGTTCTTGGGTTAGTGTGAGAGACAGCTTTTTCAAATATTCCCTCCTTGTGATCAAATTATCGCAATTTCCGTGATAAATAATTTGACTATTGATACCTGCTATGTTCAAAATGGAAAAAAAAATTCTCAAAGAATATTCTGTAGCTCAAGTTGCCTGTAGGTGGCCACCTACAGGCAACTCGAGCTACAGAATATTCTTCTTTCAATCTATCGACAACATCTCCCCCTCCTTTGGTTTTATTGTAAAAACGAAGAACGGCCTTAGATACCTAATTAAATGAATCTGTAGTCTCTGCCTACCCCTCTGGTGACAGGCGTGAGTGTTTATGTTTATGTTTATGTAATTATTTCAGGTTTTGCGTCATCTCCAGTTCAGGATCGATTCGGTCGTCATTATGAAGAGTACTAATCATAAGAATATTTTTTTAATTCTTTTTGTTTGGTATATTACCAGAACCTTGCCCGTATGAAAACCATAAATACTACTGGGCTTTGGTCTTATTTTAATATTCAAAAACATAGGTGGAATTTCCCTTTTATTTTTGCGTATAGTGCCAAACAACGTAGTACGTTTAGTCAGCAATTCGTCGGCCAATGGCATAGATGTAAAATAATTATCTGCTGTAATATTTCTTCCAGAATTTAGAATATCTTTTGATAAACGAGTAACAACAGCAGATGGGGAATTATCATATTTGTACGGACCATTTGGTTGTTTCCCTGGATATTTCTCTAAATTACTTGTATAATATGAATGCGCATCACACAGTGCATACACTTTTATGCCATATTTGGCTGGTTTGTTAGTAATATACATTCGGAATTTGCAACGACCCCGGACGATTCTAACATTTCATCTATGGTTACATTTTCTCCAACCTGATAGTCAGCCCGACACTTTTCGATAAATAAATCAAATATTTCACGAATTGGTGCAATATTGTCACACTCAGATCTCTCCTGACGAGTCTGTACATCATCAAATCGAATGCATCTCATCAAAAACATAAATCGGTTGCGATTCATGACAGCTCGATATATATCAGGAGCGGTACCATCTGTCTCCCACTTTTCTTTTAAATTTAGGTGATTCATTTTCTTTATACGAGCCATGTACAAGAGCCCAATAATTGCTTTTATCTCTATGATATCCGTCTCTTTACAGTCTCTGTCTCTTGCATAACGATCCATGTTTTTTTAATGTAATTATTTGTGTAAAAAACAATTTTAGTAAGCATGTCCTCACTTACAAAAAGGAGAAAACATTCAATAATATGTATGTTTAGCGCTTTTGGCTACTGGTTTTACCCCTGGTCTACTGTCAACTATGTTATGTGACCTTGTTCTTATATTGATTCGTTGTGGATGATAATTCCACTTGGTAATTTTATCCTTGCCTAAGTAATATAGACCGTGCTCGGATTGACTTGAATAATTCTCACCTTCATCTTCGCATGATGACTGTTCCGTGTCAGTGCAATGTTCACTGTGATCACTATCTCCGTCACTCTCTGCTTTGTCAATCCTACTATCTGGGTCCTCTATTTCCTCCGTACCTTCTTCCATCAGCCACGCCACAATTTGTTGCTCCCTTTTATCCATCTACAATAAACATAGATCTAATTTTATTATTTTAAATTATAGTTTATACACAAACCATCACTGTTAATTTAAAAAATGACAAAAAACGTAGAATATAAAAATATTAAACATTTGAAAAAAAACTTACTCACGAAAACAATACTTACAGCGAAACCCCGCGCGTTGGAGGTGATTCGAACAAACCTTCCTCTATGACTGACTGGAGCACACTAACCCAAGGCCAACGTATGTTGCGGGACGGAGAGGGAATAAAACTCAGCTACACGGCGCAAGAGACTGTCAGGTAGGTTTTTGACAGAATGGCGCCATTTTAAATTTACCGTGAGCAAAATGCATAGCGCGAGAAAAAAAAAAATTTACACTCTTTTAAACAAACGACACAATTATCAACCGTTTTAGGAACATTGAATGTTACTCTCCGTGGTGTATCCGAAACTTTAATTTGTTCAGCAACAGCACAGATGTTAACCTGAGCCATTGCTGAATGTGGAGAGGTAGGAATCACAACCGTTTCCATTTGCGGATCTTGCACTGGTGTGTCCTGAAACTCTAGGATTTCTTGATTGACCCTAGCATCACCACCTAATTCCTCTACACCATCACCATTTGGCAAAATACCACCACCATCACAAATCACTACAAAGTGGTCAGATTCCTTATCTCACCCATAAGGAACAACTAATCCACTGGCTGTATTCCCAAATAAACTGGTAACACGATCCAGTATTTCGTCTGGGGGTATATACTCACCAACACCACCGCCAGTCTGCAAATCAAAAAGATGAAATTAATAAAGAATGTAAATAAAATTGATAATCATTTATTTATACTTAGATTAAAAATAAATAAACAATGAAACTCACTTTTATGGCGTTCATTCTTATTTTGGTGCAACGTTTACGTGCATTCTTCTTTAAATTCTCCCATTTCGCCGAAGCTGTTGTGGTGTCCGACGACAACTTGTTGCCGTAGCATTAAACTGCTCGGCTATTCGTACCCACTCCTTGTCTTTCATTTTATTGCTGCTGGCGTTTGTGGCTTTAGACATTATAATTTTGCTCATTTCAATGTGTTAGAGTAAAACTTTGTTTTCATCTTTAGAATGTGTTATTGTACGGGCTGGAAAAGATACGTATTGCCACCAAGCATCAAATGATACAATATCTAATGTATTACAATATAACTTACTATTTGTGTCTCCATTATTTTGTTATTCACAAAGTATTTGCTGTAAATATTTCTGTTCCAAAGTTTAGTTTAATTTGTAAAAAGGTTTATATCATATACAAGAATTACGAATACAAATGATCGAACCGAAGCAGTGTAACTTGATAATTTTTTTGACCGACGCGATGAGCAATGACGCTGCGGCCGCTACTGACCGGCGGCGTTCCGTTACGTGATTGTTTTCTAACTATAGTTACATTGATTTAAATAAAAATATAATCATTTTATAATTTTAGGGAGAAAAAGGGAGTTAATGTAATAACTTGTAATTAGAGTCAATAGTAATAAATTTAAAATTACATTTTATGTTATTATATTAATACAACTATTTGAATGAAGAAATAGTCGCTATGCATAAAACGAAACAGTCGAGAGGAAACGATCGACTGCGATCGCCGCAAAAAAAAGATTGTGCTTGTTAAGTTATGTTACTGGGATGTGGATTTGGATCGATCTTTATATAGGGTACAGTCTCGGATTGTCTTTAATCTTAAAACAGAGATACGTTATTAAGTTCGGGCGTAAATCGACCCGGGAGTCGCGCCACAACTATCATGTAACGCCTGACGTCTAACCGGCGCGGTTTCACCGCTCAAGGCTTCCGGTCGACTACCGCGCTTGCTGTGCGCGTACGCCGCAGCAAGCCTCCACCTCCCGCGCTGCGCTAACCGTTTCCTCACCCCGCTCGAGGCACTCGGGCGTAAACACTAACTGTTCGGTTTTTTTTGACAGAAAGCCTTGTTCTCCTCTCTGACAACGTGTAACCAGCTTTTGAAAAAAGTCTCACTGGGCCCTGAAGTCGTGACTATGTTGCAGTTTGTAATAAATAATTTGCCGAGATGCGGATATTTGTATCGGGCACTGGATCGCCACCACTCGCAAGGGTCACAGCTATTTTGTACAAACTCATCTTGCAGGTACAATTCTACTTCCCGTTAAGCGGTTTGAAAAAGATTTTGGTTAGGGTTAACCCTTCTTTTTTTCTAAGATTGAATTTCTTTTTCTCCACAAACAAATTTCCTCGTCGTCCTCTCTACTTGACTGAGGTTCCGCGGTAGCTAAATGAGTTAGCTCTGTCTCGTCTGTCATGAGATTATAGACCTTTGTCACAAGGTTGGACTTAGCCCTTTCAGCTGCACTTTCGTCAGTGAACATTGATATTTTGTACCTCGGGTCCAATATTGTGCACACTGCCAAAGATTGCTCGTGCTCAAGATCTCCAAATCTACTTTTTAATTGGGTTTCGATGCATATAACTATGTTTTTATAGCATCAAAATACGCTGGTTTTCGTTTTAGCTCTTCCATCACATCATTCAACGCGCTTATGACGGCACTAGCTTTTGAAGCGCACACATATTTTTCTGCACTTAGTTCTTTTGTCGCTTCACCAATGGTTTTAATACTTTGCAGAGCTGTCTAAGCGCGGTCCACTCTTCAACTGTTATTATAGGTAAATCTACGTCGAGAATTGGTACCGTTGCCCTGACGGCATCTTGAAGATGGACAAAGCGTTCTATCATAAAATAGGTGGAGTTCCATCTTGTTGGCACTGAATTGATCAGTACCAAAGTTTGGTAGGTTTTCTTTGGTCTTGTAGCTAGCTCGATAGTACGTCACTATTTTCTTTACTTTTTTTAAAGTGTCGTCCAATATTCTTAACGGGTGCTGCAAAGAGAGATTCAGCTTATAAGCCATGCAGCCACGATGTGTTCAGCCTAAAATATTGATTGCTCCGACTATATTGGCAGCATTATCCGTCACACAAGAATTAATCTTACTAATGTACCCCATTCCATACACATATTTCTTAAAACTGATGCAAGATTTTGGCTTGTGTCTCCACCAATGCATTACACTGCATTTCAGCACGACTGATTTAAATTCAAAGTCAATTTTAATAAAATGAGCAGTGACACCTATATCGGAGATTGCAATCCCGGATGGTTTTTTGAATACCGGGATTTCGGGATCGTGTCGGAGCGATTCCGGGACGCGGTATTCATCCCGGGATCATAAAAAAATGGAAATTGTTTAAAATAACAAATAATAAGTAAAATTAATTAAACAAAATAACAATAAATGAAAAATAAATGAATAAAAAAAAGGAGAAAATAAAAACAAAAAATTATAAATTGTAACAATTGTAAACTGTAGTAATATAATGAGATAAATTAAAATAAAAAAACACGATTAAACACATTCATTACACAAGTACTTTTATTTCAAAACACAACAGTTATATTACAAATATGTACACCAACTTATTTTTATTTGTCTGTCGCAAAAAGTGACACGCAAAAACTCAATTTGTCGATGCTGTCGTCACCAAGACGACTTCGCAGTTTAGTGCAATAATTGTTTGCTGTCGAAAAAGCTCTCTCAGATTCGACACTGGTTGGCGGTATTGTTTTCAGTAAACAATACACTTTTTCAAGGTTTGGTCCTCGAACCTTGTAGTCCTTGAAGAAAGACACTTCTTGCAGGATAGTTTGTTCCAGGCTGGTAACTTTTGTCGTCATGTTGGGTCGGTTGAGTTTGTTCTGGATCGCACGATTCAGCTTCGCTTTTAACGATGGTTCGTCTAATTCCTGAAATCAAACAATTTTTTGAAATTATTATTTATATTATTTCACCATAATTTGGAATTCAAGAGCTTAGTTTTTATGTCTTACCATGCAGGTTGAATCTTCGGAAGCACTTTCAGCGCTTGAACCACCGGTTTCCTCTTCGGAAATTGCTTCTGGATTTGGATACAGCCTTTTGATCAACCTCGTGATGATTCTCGCAATGGCTGGTTTGGTGAGTTTTCTGCATAGCTCATTATTTTCTTGCTCACCGTCGTGCAAAAACTGCAGCACTTGAGATATATCTGTGCGTCGTTCCAGGATCCGTACGATGATCGCCTCTCTCACTGATCTCCGTCTGCTGTCCTTGTAAGTCGGTAATTATGAAGTCCAGCACTGTATCTGCTAAAATCAGATTTGCGTCTCTTCGATACAGGCTTTCCACAGCTACTTTTATCGGTGCCAGTGCTTCCATGGTTGCCGTCAGTAATTTAAACTCTCCCTCGGTGAAAAATATCTCCGATTTCAAGTCGATGAGGGCTTTCTGTACACAATTTCTCAACTTCAAAAACCTTTCCAGCATTGTTACTAAACTGTTCCATCTGGTTTTGACGTCAGTAAGAAGAACAAGATCTTTCTCCGGAAACTTAGCGTTTACGTACTTTTGAAGATGGACTTCGTTCCTTTGCAGACCTTTTAAAAAGGCGAACTACTGTTCGTAATTTTTTATTGTTTTCGCGAGTTCACTGCAACTTAAATTGGTTTCCTCATCTTCTTCCTCGTCGATCACTACACCACCGTCTTAGTTCTCGTCCTCACTCTCGTAACCGCTCTCGTTCTCGCTGTTGTCCGCACTGTTGTCCTCGCTGTTGTCCTCATTGTTGTCCTCATTGTTGTTCTCACTGACGTTCCTTTCTTCGGGTTGTTTGGACTTCTTCTTGTACATTACATCAAGAACCGCCAAGTGGATTGCGTGTGCGAAACAAGGTTGTTGTTCAGCGCTAATCAATTTTCCCAGCTTTTTCATCACACTAGCTCCATCACTTGTCACATCAACGATGTCTGCATCAAGGTCTATCTTGAACTGAGCCAATTATTTTCGAAGAAGTTCGACACACTTTTTAGCAGTAACGCTTCCGGTTGCTCGTATCAGGTCCAAGTTATACACCTCCGATCCAGCATGTATATTGACATGCATATATCTTCTGTTGCGGTTCGAAGTCCACTCATCCGATGTGACACTAAAGCCTCACCTTCAGCTTTTCTTTTGTTGAGCTCTGCGATCAATTCCTCACGAACCTTCCGTTCATATTGGAAAACCATTGATCTGATGATGTTCGGAGAAGAAGGGATCTTCTCGAATATTCTCGCAGCAAGTCCTTTCTTGATTTCTTGGGAAGATGCAAAAAAGTTGAATGATAATCCATCCTTTGCAGCCATCCGAGCGACAACTTCACACAACACTTCTGATTTGTTGTTAACAACAAATTTCGTTAGGAGTGATTGTGAAGTTGTCTTCTAACTTTTCGTTTCTGGACCATTGTTCTGCTCATCCTCGATTCCGCGTTTTCGAACGTCGATCAGATGAATAGACTTCAGATATCTGTGCATTCCACTCGTTGATCCACCGTTAACTAGTATTGGAAAACTACACAATTTACACCTTGTTTTAGTTTTATCCGCGATGTTGATTAAAAAATAAAACCACGGCGACGTTTTATCGGCAGATTTTTTGTGTGGAACGAATTCCCTTGAAGCTTCCATTTTGGATTGTTAATTAACACTCCAAATTCCGGAAGGAACTGACTTCTTAATCTCTGCGTTCTTAATTTATCTGGGACCAAATTGGGAAGGGGTGTGGGAGTGGGAAAAATTGTTAATTGGTTCTCGAGTACACTTAGTTGGTTTTCATTGGTTTGTTCAACAAACCAATGAAAACCAACCAAGTGTACATTGTTGCTAGTTAATATGTTCGATTCGATTGTTTCTGATTGGTCGGTTGTTATTTTCTTATTATTCTTCACATTAGTTTGTTATAATTTAAAACCTTTTTTCCTTAATCCTGAAATTTCGGGATTGTTTCACGATCCCGGGATTGTAATCCCGGAGTAAAATCGGTGCGAGATCCCAGTTTTCGGGATCCCGGTATTTAATTCTACAAAAATCAGGTTCATCAACGATAAAGAACGGTTGGTACGTTCTTGCAATGAGCTTCTAAAACATGGCATCTATATGCTTTTTTTCTTCGGTACGTAAAGGTCTTCGAATTCGTGCATATTCTAAAATATTTCTTTGGGTCCTGGTTCTGGTAGCAGTGTTTTCCTGTCGGGATTCCCCAACATAGTACTCCTGGTGCGCTGATGTAGACGGCACAGATCCTGGTTGAACTGGTTGCGAAGGTGCAGGTGTATCAGTATTCTGCAGCTGACGCACCTGTACCGAACGGGACCGAGTCGGTTCACTTTCGGCTAAAAGCTATTGTAATGGCCAATGTGTTTTAGTTTTATGATATGTTCTCTTTTAACACTATTACAGTTCAATTTTATTTTCTCCAAACATTTAAAAATAATCCCATATAGGTAGTATATAAAAAGTTATTTACCTAATTCCACTAAAATATTTATATACAAAACCTAAAATTATTATTTACACTTTTATACTATACACGACACTTATACTATACTACTACTACACTTTGAAGGTACTTATTTACAATAGTACTAAGTTCACAATATATCAATTTTAGTACAATAATAATAACAAAGAGTGTAATTTAGAAAACTAAACTCTCGCTATCACTTGCCAAAACGTACTGAATGTTGACACAATAAATAAAAATACGACGCGCGCCACCCACGTGTCACACAAATTATTATTAATTTATTCAATATACGACCTTAAATACTAGCAAACCAAAGATAATTAGGTCATAATTTGCTTAATCCCATTCTTTGCATCACCCTGCTAATAACTTTAACGAATTAAACGATCACACGCATTTATACAATATACTACCCTAAGTACGAGCAAATCAAAGATAATAAGATAATAATTGCCTAACCTTATTTTTCGCATCAAATGCACCTGCTAAAAGTCAGGGTCACTTGAAACAGATAGATTTAGTATTCCTGTAGGTGCGACGGAGAGCGCATGCTGCCGCTGTCTCGCTGAGTGCCGCGTCATTATCGTGCATCAATAGTATGAACGAAGTACGAAGCGATTAATTCACTTCGCACTTCACAGAATTTCGCAACTACATTTCATTATATTAATAATTAATGCTAATGCTAATCAATCCATCACTAGTAGGTGGCATACCCTAGTCTTTACGAACATATACTTAGCCCTTACGCACCCAAACAAACTTAAATCCCTTATCTTTTCCTATTTTTCTAGCCTCCTTTAAAGTTTTCTATTGCGCCTTCTATTCCCAGATGTCTTGAGTTAAGCTTGCCATTCGAAGTTTTGTTAAATCTGGAGACAACTCTAAGAAGATCTTTACGAAGCCTCGGCGACAACAGAGTTACTAGTATTCTACGAGGCCTATCCGTAATTGGATCCATTTTGGCAATGTGGCGACAGCTTTTAATATCTGAGTCGGCCACTGATGCCTTCACTGTTTCGCAAATGTTTTTAAATAGCTGCAGTAGGTTTTCACTCTTTTGCTCCTTAACACCTTCGATTTCCAGGTTATTGTCGCGACAGATTTTTTCGATGGTATTTTATGGATGATATCCGGCTATTTACTATATAACCCAAAGGATTTGAATCTTCTTAATTTCCTTATCTTTTCGTTTGAGCTGTGATGTCAGATCCCTTTGTTCCGCTGTTAGTCTGTAGTAATAGTGAACTCGGCCTTAAGCTTGGCCGTTGCCGACTGCAGCTTGGCGGTAATTATAGACAAGTCCTTCAGTTGCTGCCACTAGAAAATGTTTGTAAACATTTTCTAACACAGAAATATTTACTCACAAATGTTGTCAATTGTTATATTATGTTAGGAACTGTTACATGTTGTAAGTGCTCCTACACTAATATAAAATGTTTACTAATGTTGACTAACATTTATTAACATTTAAAATCTGGCATTGCCTCGCAGTTTGTTTGCGTACTGAAAGCGAGACGAAAATGGAAGAGGATTTGCTCATTGGAATAGCTTTCATTTTTTGTTTAAAAAAAAGAAAAAGCGTGTATTAGTAGTATTGGATGCGCGAAACGCTAAAAGCTAGAGGAAAATATAGTGCCACAGACTATCTCAAGGATTTTGGCATTGATGGTTGCTTAAAAGATTTTATTAGAATGAACAGTTCCGAATTTGAATATTTACAAAATTTAGTTGGGGCAAAAATAGGCAAACGAGACACTAATTTTAGAAATCTGTAAGTGTGACGGAAAGACTTGCGGTAACGTTAAGATTTTTGGCAACTGGTAGCAGTTATAAAAGTCTTGGAAGTGTGTTCAAGTTGTCAGACCAAGTGATATCTATAATCATACCAGAAGTGTGCGAGGCTCTCAATGAGGTTTTACAAGAATACATCCTGGTAAGTCAAACAACATTTTTATTTATTTTTATTTTTAATTACTTTTAATATGCCACTTCTGACAGTTGTGGTGCGAGGGTGGGTAACTACTACGTTGGAAAAAAACACACAAAACAAAAACAAGTTGTGTCTTTACAAACATATATTTACAAAAAATGCAACACGAGCTTATTTTTTGCACACAATTGAGACAAATCATACTTTACTGATATTCACTTTGCTGACGAAATTTTGAATAATCAACGAATCTAACATGTATTTTTTAATTTTGGATTGATCTTAACAAATCATTTAATGATTGGGTCGAATCTTGGCTTGATTCCGATAAATTAGACGGACTCGGTATTCTTGCGCTGGTACGAGGATGTGCAGTATGTGCCCTGGAGCTATCCGAAGAACAGCAGCTATAGACAGCATTATTTTCCAAAAAGTGGATAGATTTGGTTCAGAGTTGTATCCCCAGGAACTACTGGCAGTTGGGTTTGTAGGAAAATCATATTGTCCTATTGATGCATTGTACAAAATATTGTTAATGTAATGTTGAGCAGCGTATTCCTTGCATAACTGTTTTTTATTTGTTTCAGTTTCATAGAGACATACTCTCCAAATGAAAATACATTAAAAAAAATGGAATTTCCCAAATTGCTTAGGAAGTATCGATGGAAAGCACGTAGCCATACAAAAGCCAATTCATAGCGGCAGTGAATATTACAAATATAAAGGATTTTACAGCGTTGTACTTTTAGCGCTAGTGGACGCAGAATATAACTTTTTATATGTGAATATTGGCTGCCAAGGACGCATAAGTGATGGTGGAGTTTTCGCAAACACAAATTTTCGAAATAAAATTAACGACAATAGTTTAAAAATACCCAATGACAGCTCACTACCAGGCAGAAACAAACCTGTTCCTTATGTGTTCGTAACAGATGATGCGTTCCCGTTAGAAAAACACTTGTTAAAGCCTTTTCCAGGACCACAGGGTAGCAATTCTAAGGAAAGAAATTACAACAGTCGTGCGAGAAGAATAGTAGAGAACGCATTTGGTATTTTGTCGGCCAGATTTTGAGTTTTACGAACTACAATATTATTAGATCCAGAAAAAACTACTACTTTAATTATGACATGCGTGCTAATGCATAATTTTCTAAGAAAAACAGAATCGACCATGATTTACGCTCTATCTCAATACTATGATAGCGAAGACGAAATAACTGGTACACGTATCGATGGACAATGAAGATTAGAACAGCAGCAGTGTTAATTGCTGCTGCACTTGAAGCATGTGGATGCCAAGGAGATGATGGGGGAGAAATAAGAAAAGAATTCGCTGAATATTTTTCAAATGAAGGGTTATTGGACTGGGCATCTAAATACTATTAAAAGACGTTAAAATAAAACTCACCTGCAACCCTCCATCGACAGTTGAACTTGGGATATTTTTCCCTTAAGGAACATGAGTTTTTTAAATGCAAACCATTTACTTGATTCATCAGCTATTGCACCAGATTTAGATTTACATTCTCGGTTAAATTGACCTACGAGTGATCGAATCTTTTTTTCAATTACTTTTTTATCCAAATTAAATTCACTGGCAATTTCCATCCAAGCATCGTGTTTCTTATTTCCGTTTTTGTAGTCCTCTGATATCGTGTTCCACAGTACTTCTCTTGCTTGAAACATTTCAATTTGTAAACATTTTCGTTATTCCAATTATAACCTGACATATTTTATTGCTTGGCGCACGCGCAACCACTAATCTATATACGCACAGCGACGCACGCTTAATTAAACAAAGGGAATGACAAGACACCAGACATAGCGCGTAGCGACCGGCATACTCTAACGGCAATGTGGGAGCACCATAGGTTACAGATAATTGAAGATGAAGACGACAGCGTACTGTCTTATCCCCTAGATAGTAGCCGGCATAGTGCAGTCCATTGTACAATCAAGATTGCATGACTTTTTTTTGATGAGGTTGGTTTCGATCGCACAGTGACGTTCTGATTGTCGAGGAAATCGCTTAATTCGTCACTTGTAATGTCTGCGAAGGGCGATTTTATAGGTGTGTTTTGATTGTTACCTTTTGGCTGCTGATTTTTACATGCTTGGCATTTCCATGCCGCTTTGAGATTTTTATGTAACAGTAAATAAATTTTTTCGTTCATATTAGTACATTCCAAATCATATCTCGATACACAAAGGGAGCAGCTCATAAACTGCTTATTAGTGATTTTAGTGTTGCAGCGTGCGCATTTTCCTTTACAGAAACAGAAACAGAAACTTTTTTATTCAATGTAGATTATAACAATACTTATTGATAGTCACTTTTTCATTTACCACTGGTTCGAAAAAAAACCTCTGTCCTGGGAAGAACCAGCAAGAAACCCAGCGGGACTATTTTTGTTTTTCAAATAATAGCTTACAATCATGTTTACAATTAACAACACAAGACAAATTAGAAATAGCTTGATAGCAATCACCCTTGCCAGGGGTTATTATTATCCATAAATTCCTTAATATTATAATAACCATTTTTATACAAACTTAGTTAATAACATTTTTGAACTTTGTGTATGACAAATTTTGTACATTTTCTGGGATTTTGTTGTAAAAGCGTATACATCGCCCCAAGAATGAATTACTGACTCGGTGGAGTCGAGTAACTGGTACTACTAGCTTGTGTCTGTTCCTAGTATTTACAGAATGAATATCACTTATTTTTACAAAAACTACTTTTATTTTTGTGTACGTACATTACATTTTCATAAATGTATTTAGAGGCCAGAGTTAATATATTAATTTTCTTAAATTTTTGTCTCAGTGACTCTTTTGGTTTTAAATTATATATTGCTCTAATGGCTCTATTCTGTAAAATAAATATAATTAATTGATCAAAGTATCATCATCATCATCATTACAGCCCTTCACAAGTCCACTGCTGAACATAGGCCTCCCCCAAGTAATGCCACAAAGCACGGTCCTGAGCCACCTGCATCCATCGACTTCCTGCATGTCTTACCAGGTCGTCACTCCATCTAGTGGGGGGTCGCCCTACACTACGCCTACCGGTACGAGGCTGCCACTCGAGAACCTTTCTTCCCCATCGGTTATCGGTTCTTCGAGCTATATGGCCGGCCCATTGCCACTTCAGCTTACTAATCCGTTGGGCTATGTCGGTCACTCTGGTTTTACTGCGGATATCCTCATTTCTGAGTCTATCACGCAGAGAAACTCCGAGCATAGCCCTCTCCATAGCTCGCTGAGCGACCTTAAGCGTCCTCATACGGCCAGCAGTGAAGGACCACGTCTCAGATCCGTAAGTCATCACTGGCAACACGCACTGGTTGTACAATCTAGTTTTTAGAGATTGAGGTATACCTGACGAAAAGATATGCCGTAATTTCCCGAACGCTGCCCAGCCGAGTTGAATCCGTCGATTGACCTCTCGGTCGAAGTTGGACTTACCTAGTCGGACTATTTGTCCCAGGTAAACGTATTCGTCAACAACTTCGAGCATAGTGCTCCCAACAACTACCGGCATAGGTGTGACATGGACATTGAACATGATCTTTGTTTTGTCCATGTTCATCTTAAGACCTATCCGTTGGGAGGCACTATTGAGGTCATTGAGCATAGTGCTTAAGTCCTCCAGCGATTCTGCCATAAGGACTATATCGTCGGCAAATCGAAGGTGAGTGATGTACTCGCCATTGATGTCAATACCGTATCCTTTCCAGTCCAGTAGCTTGAAAACGTCTTCCAATGCAGCGGTGAAGAGTTTCGGGGATATAACGTCACCCTGTCTTACACCTCTCTGCAGTTGGATAGGTTTCGAGCTCTGGTTCTGTACTCGGATAGCCATCGTAGCCCTACTGTACAAACACTTCAGCACTTCGATATACCGACAGTCAACTTGGCACCGCTGAAGGGACTGTAGCACCGCCCAAATTTCGACGGAATCAAAGGCTTTCTCATAGTCCACATACGCCAGGCAAAGTAACTTGCCTGTAAGTGTCCTTCGATCAAAATTATATGATGACGCCTCCTCTGTGTTGTATACTATGTAGTCATGAATTGACGGACCGAACCACACGAATTTTAACCTTCCATGGTAAAAAATAAGTTTTTTACTGGTACCCCATATGAGCTCCTACTGGCAACACTATACGCCTCATGTCATTGTGAATTTATTTCATCTAGAATTAGGAAATAATTAAAATGCAAGCAAGCGCTAGGGGTGGGTAAGAATGTACAGCAGGGTAGGGTTGTACACAGAGGAGGCGTCAACTTCATATAATTTTGATCGAAGGACACTTACAGGTAAGTTACTTTGATCAATTAATTATATTCGTTGACGCCTCCTCTGTGTTGTATACTATGTAGATGTTGAAAGATTAGATTGCTTCATTTTAATTATTTATTATTGTATTAATCATATCTAAATTGAACAATTTACTATAAAACAAATAAAAGTTATACATAATATTAATATTATACAATCATAAATCTTGACAAACATGTTTGTTAAATAAATTAAACTTTCCTCTGTTCTATATTGTTAAAATGGTAAAGCCAAAGTTATTTTCATCTATTAGTGGCTTGTTATAAAATATGGCGAAGGTTTAAGATGTAATAGTCCAGTCTGCGGTTTTCCTAATAATGTCAATGCTAATACCACTTCTCTGAGCATGAGAAGTAGATGCATGTCTAGTGCTGTGTGCAGTAAAAATTGATGTATCTATGCCTGCTTCTGTTAATAAATTTTTAATCCATCTACCTAATGTCTGGCTCGTAGCAGCAGTATGAGGTTTTTTGCAAATAATGAACAAATTTTCAGACTTCCTTAAATTTTTTGTGACATATAGGTAATCTTTCAAGGTTGTTGCTGGACATACAAATATTCGGTTTATAAAATGGTATAATTAATAAAGGTTGAAAATTGTTCATTTTAGATGTTTTAACTGTATCAGGAATTTTAATCTTAATGTTATCTTCATTATAACTACATACTTATTTTAATTAATGACATAGTCTGAAGTCTATGTCCAGTTACTAGACTTAAGAGAATAATTAATTTTTTTTGATAAAATATCTAGAGAAAGTTCTATGTTTGGGTAAAATTTAGCTACATAATCTAAAACTTGTGTTGGACTCCAGGTTTGATCATATTTGGGTTTATTCGTCCTCATTTTATAAATACCAGAAAAGAATCTCTTAATGTCTCTGTCTGAACCCAAACCATAATCTAATATGAGTGATAATGATGACCTGATGGAGTTGAGAGTTCCATAGGCAAAACCACAATTAAATTTCTCAGTAAGAAATGCTAAAATTTTTGGAATGTTCAATAGAAATGGATCAATTTTCTCACTCCTACAGTAGCTCCACCACTGTTTTATACATGAATCATACTGTCTAATTGTGTTTTCAGACAATGAATTAATTATTATTTTTATGCTTTCATCAGTTAGCCCTTTTCTTGTATATATTTCCCTGATAGCACTGCGGCAACCAGGGTAAGTTTGTGGTGCAACGGGTGAAGACTCCTGAAAGGAGATGTTAACAGTTGTTTATCTGGGTAAAATTTTAATAAAGCAGACTTTTTTAAAGACATAAAGTATGGGAACCAGGCTTGAGAAGGCCAAAAAGGACCACCATTGTACCTTCTGCCCTATCAATTTCTATCTTTTATAGACATTTTAAGATTAAGGAGAATGGTGGAAAGGCATAAGGTTGGTCCAAGAAATAGTAAAAGCATCTACAGACATACAGTTGGGTTCCATATGCCAAGAAACAAATTTCTTACATTTAGCATTTTCTCTGGTAGCAAATAAATCAACTTTAGGGTATCCAAACTTAGTGACAATTTTTCTATAGGCATAAGAATTTAGTTCCCATTCTGTTTCTTTATTAACTTTTCTGGATTCTTTGTCAGCAAGACAATTATCATTTGATGATATGTAAGAAGCAAATATGAATATATTTCTTTTTTCACAAAATTGCCAAATTTTTCGAACTAAGTTACTTAGGTGTGAGTATTGTATGCCACCCATTCGGTTAATGTAAGATATAGCTGTAGTGTTATCACAACGGATTAGTATTTCACAGTCATGGGAATGTTTAGCAAAACATTGTAATCTGAAGTGTACCGCCTGTAACTTTAAAAAATTAATGTGTTGTTTTTTATCTTTTTTATTCCAAAATCCATGTAGTCTTTATGAGCCACATACAATACCCCATCCACTGCGTGAACTATCTGAAAATATTTCCATTTGATAAACACCCTCTTTAATCGGATTACTTGATATCAATATGTGATTTTTCCACCAAATAAGATCCTCAATAACCTCTTTTTGATTTTCCAGAGTTAATTTACAATTGAAATTATTATTATATTTCTTCAAAGATAAATACTTATAACGCTCTAAGCGTTTTGTATACATTAAACCATATGGGATAGCTGGACAAACTGATATGATTTTAAATTCATAAGTGACTTTAATTTATGTAAAATATTTATGCGTTTTTCATTTGCTATGGAAATTGTATAATTTTCACAATCTAATATAAACCCAAGAAACTTACAATGTTTTGAAGGTATTAGATTGCTTTTCTTAAAATTTATAATAAAACCCAGAGATTCTAGTACTTTACAACTCATGTCTATATTTTCCTGA